GCCTCGCGGAGGCGGAGATCGAGACGGGACGCGCCAAGGGAGACGCCGCGTCGCTCACGGCGGCGCTCGACGCGGCGCGGAGCGAACTCCCGACGCTGCGCTCGGACGCGGTCGACGCGAAGCAGACCGCGGCGGCGGTGACCCGGGAGATCGCGGCGCTCGAGGCGACGCTGCGCGACGCGAAGCGCCACGCGGCGGAGGCGAGCGATCGGGCGACCGCGGCGGATCGCGCGAGGGACGCCGCGACGGACGCGGCGGCGGCGGCGGAGGCGACGCGGCGAGACGTCGAGAGGGACGCGAAGGCCAAGCTGGAGGCGTCCGCGCGCGCGCACGACGCGTCGATTCGCGCGGCGAACGACGCGGAGGCGCGCGCGCGCGTCGCGGAGGAGGCGCGCGACGCCGCGCGCGAGGAGGCGGCGGAGGCGAACGCGCGCGCGGAGGACCACGCGCGGCGGCGCGAGGACGCGACGGCGCTCGCCTCCGCCGCGCGCGACGAGGCGACCGCGGCGGTCGACGAGCTCGCGAGCCTCCGCGCCGAGCTCATCGACGCGAAGGAGAGCGAGGCGAAGGCTGCCGCCGCGGCGACGAGGGCGCTCGACGCCGCGGAGGAGGCGACGGCGCGCGTCGCGGCGATGGAGCGCGCGGGAGAGGCGGCGACGGAGAGACGGCTGACGTCGGAACGCGACGCGAAGGAGAAGAGCCGCGACGCGTCCGACGCGCGCGCGGAGCTCGAGCGCGAGCGCGCGGACAGAGCCGCGGCGTCTGTCGCGGCGTCGGAGGCGATCGCCGCGAGCGAGCGCGAGCGCGCGGTGCTCCGCGCGAAGCTCGAGGCGTGGGAGGCGCGCGCGGCGGACGCGGAGCGCCGCGCCGCGGAGGCGACGGAGGCGGCGGCGGCGGCGGCGGAGCGCGAACGCGACGCGCGCGCGAGAGAGACGCTCGCGTCGAAGCGCGCGACGGAGTTTGAATCGCGCGCGGACGCGTCCGCGAGCCGCGTCGTCGCGGCGGAAGCGGCGGCGGCGGTCGCGAAGGGCGCGCGCGACGCCGCGGAGGCCAAGGCGTCGAGCGCGGAGGCTGACGCGAGGCGCGCGGCGGACGCGAGAAGCCGACGCCGCCGCCATCTCAGAGAAGCTCCGCGACGCCGTCCCGAGCCTCGCCGCCGCCGCCTCCGCTGCGGACGCGCGCCTCGAGGCCGCCGCGAAGGAACGCGAGCAGCTCGCGGCGCGCGCGGCTGACGCGGAGAGCCGCGCGGCGGCCGCGGAGGCGACGGCGGCGGCGGTTCGGTCCGCGGAGGACGACGCGCGCGACCGCGCGGCGGCGGCGGTGGCGGCGGCGGAAAAGCACATCGCCGTCGCGCGCGCGGACGTCGAGGGCGCCCGCGCGCGGCTCGACGCGGCGACGCGCGCGAGGGAGGAGGCCGAGCGCGAGCGCGAGGCGCTGCGGGACGAGCTCGCGGGCGCGCGGAGAGAGCGCGCGGAGATGGCGGAGGCGATGGAGCGCGCCGAGGGACGCGAGAGCGACGCGACGCGCGACGTCGAGCGGCTCGCGAGAGAGCGCGCGGAGACGGCGGAGGCGACGGCGCGCGCGACGCGCGACGCTCGCGAGCTCCGCGACGCGCTCGAGTCCGCGCGTCGCGGGAGGGCGGACGCGGAGACGCGCCTCGCGAGGGCGGAAGCGGACGCGGTCGCCGCGAGGGCGGAGACGGAGCGGGCGCGGGCGACGGCGAGGGAGGGGGAGCGAGAAGCCGCGACGCTGCGCGGGGAACTCGCGGGCGCGCGCGCGGCGGCCGCGTCGACGTCCGCGCTGATCGAAGGTCAGGAGAAGCACATCGCGGACTTGAGGGACGAGCTGAAGAGCGCGCTGCGGGGTAAGAAGGCGCGGGGTGCGCGCGAGGCGCGGGCGCGCGCCGAGCGCGAACGCGAACAGCAGCAGCAGCAGGCGGNGAGGACGCGTCGCGCGCCTCCTTCGCCGCGGCTTCTCGCGCCGCGTACGTCTCCTCGACGTCCGCCGCCGCCGCCGCCGCCGCGGCCGCCGCCGACGACGACGACGCCGACGACGACGACGACGGCCGCGGTGGACTGGGCCGCGGCGTACGCGGACATCGACGAGACGTACGCGGCGCGAGAAGCCGCGGCGAAGGAGGCGCGCGACGCGTCCTCCTCGCCCGCCGCCGCCGCCGGCGACGCTTCTGCGAAGGTGAACTGGGAGGTCGCGTACGCGGACATCGAAAAGACGCGCAGGGAGCGCAGGGAGAAGATAACCGCGGCCGCGAACGCGGCTCGGAGCGAGGTCGAGGCGGCGACCCCCACGGGCGCGGTCGCCGGGAGCTTCGACGGCAGCGTCGCGAGCGGGTCCCCGCGCGAGTCGCCGATCGCGCCGTATCGGCCGGCGGCGGTGGACGCGGCGGATCCGACGCCGAGGTCCGACGCGGAGGAGAACGCCGCGTCGTCGAAGACCTCCGCCGCCGCCGCGGGGGCGGTCGTCGAGAGCGCGGAGGGCTCCGCGGCGCTGCTGGACGATTTGTTCCGCAAGCTCGTCGCGCTCGACGGCGACGACGCCGGCGAGCTCTTGTCGCCGACGCGAAACTAGGAAAATGATTAGCATCTAATAATGTATTCACGCGAAGGAAGGACACGTCGCAGCGGCACGAGGTCGCGGGGCGCTCGTTCGTTACATCGAATTAATTAAAACGCTCGAAATAATACCGTTACGAAATATGATAATACTCCGCCGCCGCGGCTCAATTTTATTCAGCCTTCTCATCAGCGGGCTTTTCGTACCCGTCGGACCCGCTCGTGAGATACTTCACGGCGTCGAACTTCTCCCCCTTCGCCTCGCGAATCAACCGCTGGAGCTCCTTCGGCTTCGCGATCTTCCCCGCGACGCCGATCTCCTCCCCCGGGTCGCCGCCGTCCTTCGGGATGACCCAAAGCGGCCACGCGTCCGTGTACCCCTCGCAAAACGCCGCCGGCTTCGTCACGTCCGCTCTCCCCGGGGTGTTCTGATACACGCCGTCCGGGAAGCACTCGACGTAGTTCACGTACTCCATCGCCTCCTTGCCGAGGATCTCCTTCTGCTTGTTGCAGTTCTCGCACCAGAACGCGCCGTACAGACGCGCGCCCGCGGCTTTCAGGGACTTGGCGACCTCGATCGCCTCCGCGCTGGACGCGGAGTCGACGACGTAAGGGGTGTACTCGACCGCGACCACCTTGTTCGGATCTCCCGCGACCGCGGCGGGGACCGGGCCGAGCGCGTTCGCCGCGACGACGGTCGCGAGCGACGCGAGCGACGCGCGCATCGCGTCGCGTCGCGTCATCGGCGACGCGCGGGACGCGGCGGCGGCGGCGGCGGCGGCGGCGGCGCGGTCCGCGGAGGAGGCGGAGACGACGATCGAGGCCGATCGCGATCGCATCTTCGACGCGAATGTGATGAGCGATCGCGAGGACGCCGCGACGGAGGTGGTCTTCGTCGTCTTGGCGCGCGCGGGCGCCGCGCGATCGACGCGCGCGGTCGAGGCGTTGACGGCGAGCGTGAGCGACATGCTTCTGTGCAAAATTCGCGCGTGGGGGGTGCGGCGCGCGTGCGATGCGCGGTCGGGATGTACCGGATAAACTGCAGATACGCTCGAAGCGAGATCCAGCCAGCGCAGCGGAAAAGTTCGTCTTAGCTGCGCGAGAAGGCACCGGCGAATTATTGACGTCTCAGATCCGCGCCGCGGCCCCTCGGCCGAGCAGGCACGATGGCGATGCTCCGCGTCTCGAACTGTCCGTCGCAGGATCTCGCGCTCACGAACTGCGCGTTCGTGAACGCGGCGGACGCCAAGTTCATCCCGCACGCGGAGATCGGCGACGTCGTGCTCTTCGTCAAGCCCCATCCCGACGTCGAGCCCGGCGCGCTCGCGCTGAACGGCGTGCAGAGGAAACTCCTGCGCGTGAGCACCGGGGACACGATCCGCGCGGAGCCGTTCGCGGTGCCGTCATCGCAGTTCACCGCGGCCGGGATGACGCTCGAGCTCGAGTTCACGAAGTTACGGACCGCCGCGGAGCTGAACGCGGTGGGACGGCACGAGGAGGTGCGCGAGATTCGACCGCCGATTTCGTCGCATCCTTCAGATTCTTTCGTCCCCTCCTCGCGCGTTCGAAATTCGATGGCGACGACGACTAGGGAAGGGACGGCCGCAGACGACGACGACGACGACGACGACGACGACGACGACCTCCGCGCGCGCTTCGAACGTGATGAATACTCCTTTCAAAAGCTGGAATTACCATCTCAAGCCAGAACGTTTGGGGCTATGGAGCCCGGCCCTCTAGGCGCTGTTGCGAACGGGTTTTCCTGATTCGAAGCGCGCGCGCCGCCGTCGTCGTCGTCGTCGTCGCCGCCGCCGCCGCCGCCGCCGTCGATCCGCGGTCGCGGCGGTCGTCCTCCTTCTCGTCGCCATCGCGCGACGCGTTCGCGTTCGCGTTCGCGTTCGCGTTCGCGCGCGCCGCCCGACGTTCCCCACGCCGTGCCGTTCGTCGCTTCGACGACTGACCCCCTCCCCGTGTCGCTCAAACGTCGTTCCCTCCTCCCTCCCTCCAGGTGGACGCCGTCGCGCTCGGCGCGGGCATCAAGCGCGTCTTCGCGTCGCAGGTGTTCACCGTGGGTCAGAAAGCCGCGGTGGAGTACTGCGGGAACAACTACCTGTTCACCGTGTCCTCCATGCTCGTCGCGGACGTCCCCGAGGGCGTGACGTCGTTGCGAGGGGTGTTCACCCCGGACACGTCCGTCGTCTTCGCCGCGGCGCACGGCTCCGCGATCAAGATCGTCGGCCAAAAAAACGCGGCGGTGAACTCGAACTTGTTCAAGACCAAGGAGTTCTCGTTCGAGAAGCTCGGGATCGGCGGCCTGGACAAGCAGTTCGAGGACATCTTCCGAAGGGCGTTCTCCTCGCGCGTGTTCCCGCAGTCCGTGGTGCAACGCCTCGGCATTCACCACGTCAAGGGCATGCTGCTTCACGGCCCCCCGGGCACGGGGAAGACCCTCATCGCGCGACAGATCGGTAAGATGCTCAACGGCAAAGAACCCAAGGTGGTGAACGGGCCGGAGGTGATGTCCAAGTACGTCGGTCAGTCCGAAGAGAACGTCCGCGCGCTCTTCGCGGACGCGGAGGCGGAGTACAAACAAAAGGGCGACGACAGCGATTTGCACATCATCATCTTCGACGAGATCGACGCGGTGTGCAAAGCGCGCGGGACCACGGGGGGCGGCACCGGCGTGCAGGACAGCATCGTGAACCAGCTTCTGACGAAGATCGACGGCGTGGACGCGCTGAACAACATTCTTCTCATAGGGATGACGAACAGGAAGGACATGCTCGACGAGGCCATCTTGCGCCCGGGGCGCCTCGAGGTGCACATCGAGATCGGCCTGCCGGACGAGGCGGGGCGGAACCAGATCCTCAAGATTCACTCGATGAAGATGAGCGAGAACGAGTTTTTGGGGCACGACGTGGACCTCGCGGATCTCGCGCGGCGAACGAAGAACTTCTCCGGCGCGGAGATCGAGGGTTTAGTCAAGTCCGCGGTGTCGTTCGCGTTGTCTCGGCAGGTGGACTTTCAAAACTTGGGCGCCATGGAGATCGACGAGGACAACGTGAAGATCGAAGCCGCGGACTTCGAACGCGCGCTCGGGGAGGTGCAGCCCGCGTTCGGGGCGAGCACGGACATGTTCGAGCGCTGCCGTCTGAACGGGATCATCTCCCCCGGGGAGAAGCACGAGAAGCTGCATCACACGTGCAGGGCGCTGGTGGAGCAAGTTCGCGTCTCGCCCAAGACGCCGATGTTGACGTGCCTCCTCGAAGGCGCCGCGGGGTCGGGGAAGACCGCGCTCGCGGCGACGCTCGCGATCGGCAGCGAGTTCCCGTTCACGAAGCTCGTCAGCGCGGACACGATGGTGGGGCAGTCCGAGATGGGGAAGTGCCAGGCGTTGGCCAAGGTTTTCGAGGATGCGTATAAATCGCCGCTGTCGCTCATCGTCCTGGACGACATCGAGCGGCTCCTGGAGTACGTCGCCATCGGCCCGCGGTTCAGTAACGTCGTCTTACAAGCGTTACTCATCCTACTGAAACGCCAGCCCCCGGAAGGGAAGAAACTCCTCGTCATCGGCACGACGTCGCTGCCGCACGTGTTCGAAGACATGGGACTCACCGCGACGTTTAACGTCTCGCTGCACTGCCCGCTGCTCGGCGGGGAGGAGGGGAAGAAGGTTTTGTCTCAGATCGGCGCGTTCGAGCCGCACGAGCTGGACGCCGCGGTCGCGCTGCTGGACGAGCAGACGCCGATCAAGAAGCTGTTCATGCTGCTGGAGATGGCGAGGCACGGCGGCGGCGGCGGCGGCGGCGGCGACGGCGACGCGGAGGACGGCGGGAAAATTCCGCTCGAACGGTGGATCGCGTGCATGGAGGATCTGCACGGGTGAGTCAGGGTTCGCGGCGCGGGGGGTCTCGTAGACGTGTTTGTTTTCCTAGCAACGGCGTAGAGCGCGCGCGCGTTCTGTTGTGCTGTACCGTAGTCGACACTCGCGAGAGACGTCCGCGTCCGTCTCGCGCGCGCGGTGAGAAAATAATGCTTTGAAGAATTACACCACCACCGCTACAGTACTGGAGAACGTCCGCCGTCTCGTGGGCGATCGCGCGACCGCCCCTTCGCGCCCGCGCGGTTCTCCCCTTCTATCGCCAAGAATTACTTTTTGAACTGCGGCGCGAGCGAGCGAGATGGTTCGGGGGAGGCGCGCGTCAGCGAGGGAGGGCGAGGCGAGCGCGCGACGACGCGCGAACCCTACGAACGCGACCGCGGACGGGACGAGAGCGGCGGGGGGGCGCGCACCAGCCCGGTGAACATGCCGTTCACCGCCCCGTAACCGACGCCGAACACGACCGCGCCGGCGCGCATGAACTGAGACGAGAGAGGAGGAGGAGAGGAGGAGGAGGGAGGCGCGAGGCGTCAGTCGGACGGCGCGCGCGGACGGTCGACGAAGCGATATTTAGGAGGATGAGCGACGAAGACGAGACGAGACGCGCGGGGACCGCGGTTCCGCCGCGCGGGGACCGCGGTTCCGCCGCGCGACGACCGCGCGGCGCGCGTCCGCGAGCGCGCACCGAGGCGAGCGAACTGCCTCCGTAGGGACCTCCCGACATCGTGAGCGTTGTCGCGACCGGCGGATCGACCGAGGCGCGCGCGCGAGTGATCGCCGACGCTTCGACGAAACAGCCTCGCGACGCGATCGACCGATCGATCGTCCGCGCGGTCGGCGACCGCGACCGCCGCTCGCGCTCGCGTCGGATGTTTAAACTGATGAGGTGTTCGGGCGAGGGTTCGCCGCGCGCGGGCACGACGCACCGCGCGCGGGCATCGAACCCCGCCACACGCGATCTCCGCGTCGCGTCTTCGCTCGCGAGGAACCGATCGTCGCGCCGGCGAGGACGCGAACGTCGCCGCGCAGCGCGGCCGCGCGCGTCGAGCACTACTAGCGTGGTCGGACGCGTCGACGTTTTCGATCGGCGATGTTCGCGGTCGCCGCTCGCGGATGCGGCTCGCTCTGCGCGCGATACGGCGCCGTCGCCGCGCGCGTCGCGCCTCGCGCGCGCGTCGTGACGTCGAGAGCGCCGATCGAGATCGTCGCGCGCGCGGACCCGGCCGGCTTCGCCGCGCGCGGGGCGTCCTCGTCGTCGGTCTTGTCCATCTCGACGACGACGACGACGTCGACGTCGTCCGCGTACCCTCGGACGGCACGACACGGCGTCCCGGGCGCGCGACGCGGCGCCGCGCGCGCGGCCGAGGGCGGCGGCGGCGGCGGCGGCGGCGGCGGCGGCGGCGGCGGGGCTGGCGGCGGTAAAGGCGGCGGCGGAGGAGGAGGAGGAGGAGGCGGCGGCGGAAGCGGCGGCGACGGCGCGTCGGGCGGCGGCGGCGGCGGCGGCGGCGGCGGGTTATGGGCGGCGTACCTCCGCGCGCTCGACACCGCGCCGCTCCTCACGAAGTGCTTCACGAGCGGCGTGCTGAACGTCTTCGGCGACGTGTTCGCGCAGTTCATGTTCGAGGACGCGGCTCGGAACGGCTGCGACTGGAGACGCGCGGGCGTCTTCGCGCTCCTCGGGTTCGCGCTCGTGGGGCCGTGCCTCCACTTCTGGTACTCGTCGCTGTCCAAGATCGTCGCGGCGACGGGGGCGGTCGGCAACGCGTCCGCGGGGGTCTCCCTCGCGCTGGATCAGCTCGTGTTCGCCCCGAGCTTCCTCGCGGTGTTCATCGCGTCGTTGTTTACGGTGGAAGGCAACGCGTCCGCGGTGCCGGCAAAGTTGAGACAGGATTGGGCGAGCACGGTGGTTACCAACTGGAAGATCTGGGTGCCGTTTCAGTTCTTGAACTTCCGGTTCGTGCCCGTGAACTTGCAGGTGCTCGCCGCGAACGTGATCGCGCTCGCGTGGAACACGTACATGTCCTGGGTCTCGCACAAGCCCGTGGAGGAGACGGTCGCGAGGAAGTGAAGTGAGCTTTTAGCGGTTGTTTGTCAACGTATAACGTCGCGTCGCGTCGTTCTCTACGGTACTCGATCGATCATCATCGCGCCTACGCGGTCGAACCGGAGCAACTCGACCCCGCGCCCGCGGTGCACCCGAAGCAGTGGTTATCCACCGCGAGCTTCCGCCCCACGAGCTCGTCCAAGCTCGCGACGTCGAACACGCTCAGGCCGCCGTCGCCGCCATTCCCGCCTTTCATCGGCATGTCCAGTTGTTGATTGAAATCGCAGTCGAACAGACGCCCGTCCCACGACACGCTGACGAGGTCGCGGCACATCACCCCTTCCGCGGCGGCCGGGTTGAAGTTGTCCACGAGCAGCTTCATGTACGCCTCGGTCTTTCCCTCGCGGTGTAAGTAGTCCGCGAACCGTTTGATCGGCATGTTGGTAAGCGTGAAAAGTTTCGAAAACTTCACGCCGTACGCGTCGCCCAACTCGCTTCTGTACGCGACGTCTAACGTCTCCTGGCTCGGCGGTAAGAACGCGCCGCCGGGGTTGTACATGAGGTCGAGCTCGAGGTCGGTGCCTTCGATACCGTAACCGACTTCGTTTAACCGTTTCAACGCCGCGATGGAGCGCTCGAAGACGCCGACGCCGCGTTGCGCGTCCGTGTTCGCCTCCGAGTAACACGGCAGCGACGCCACCACCTTGACGCCGTTCTCCGCCAAAAACTCCGGCAGGTCCTCCTGCCCGGGCTCGTACAACACCGTGAGGTTACACCTGTCGATGACGTCGAGCCCTCTCTGCCGCGCGGCGAGCACCAGAGGCCGGAACTGCGCCATGAGCTCCGGAGCGCCGCCGGTGACGTCCAGCGTCTTGATCGCGCTCTTTTTTTTCGACGCGTCGATCAACTCCACCAGTCGCGCCGCCACCGCCTCGGACATGACCTCCTCTCTGCGCAGCGGCGATGACTCGACGTGGCAGTGCGAGCACGCTTGGTTGCAGTACAGACCGATGTTGACCTGGAGGATCGTCGTGGGTTTACGAACGAGCGCGGACGCGCCGCGGTCGACGACGAAGGCGTCGAAGTTCGGGACGTCGAGGCCGTCGAGCGCGCGGCGCCTTCGCGCGCGCTCCTCCTTCGTCAGCGCTCTCTGCCCCTCCGCTTTCAGTCGCTTCGCCGCGAGCTTGAACTCCTCGTCCGTCTCCATCTCTCTCAGCGTCTCGGGGACGAGCGAGCCGAACGCGGAGGAGGACGAGGAGGAGGAGGAGGACGACGACGACGACGGCGCGTCGGAAGGGGCGCTTCGAGATCGCACGTCGCTCGCGACTCGGCGGCGATGGCGACGCGACGCGGAGGAAACGCGCGGGGTCGTCGCCGCGGAGGGCGCGGCGGCGCGCGACGCGAGCGCCGCGTGCATCGCGGCGTGGGAGGTCTGAACGTTGTCCGCGTCCGACGCGTGCTCGGCGCGAGGGACTGTCACGACGAGGGCGGACGCGATGCATTGAGTTGCGAACACGTCATCAGCATCGTCAGCACACATCTTCAAAACTGGCACCCCCATCTGTCGTGGCACGCACACCTGTGGCGCACCCGGGGACGGCGTCGGAGGCGGATCCACCGCGCGAGCGCGCGCCGGGGGAGCGCGAGAGCGCGAGCGAAGCGCCGCGGCGTTCGAGATGCCCGCGCACACGCTCGCGGAGCTGAAGGCGCGAGGACGCGGAGGAAGAGGCGCGGGCGGGAGAGGAGGCCGAGGCCGAGGCCGAGGCGGAGGCGGAGGCGGAGGACGAGGACGAGGACGCGGCCGCGGACGAGGGGGAGCGGACGACGCCGGCTTCGCCGCGTTCAACGGGGACGCCAGGTGCGCGAAGAGCCTCGCTCGCGACGACCAGAACGACCGCCCGCGACGCGTGAGATCCCTTCGTTCGTCGATGCGATGCTGCTTGTTGGCACCCCCGAGCCTGCCCGACCAAAAGTTTCTCTCTCTCTCTCTCTCGCAGGAAACTCGCGCCGTCGCCGGAGCGCAACCCGTGGACGCACGCCGCGGGCCTCGCGGCGGAGAGAACCATCGCGAGCCCGAGGACGGTCGCGGCGTCGTGGGCGCGCAAGCAAGAGGAGATCGAAGACGTCGGCGCGTTGATGCGGTACGAGGCGGAGCGCGCGAACGAGAGACGCGCGGACGAACGAGAGAAGACGAAGGCGGCGGCGAGAGAGGCTGGCGCGGACGTGATCGATCTCCTGAGCGACGGGGACGACAACGGCGCGGATGTTGCGAAGGAGAAGCGGCGGCGGGAGAAGCGGAAGAGCGCGGAGGGGGAGGAGGAGGAGGAGGAGGAGATGAAGAAGAAGAAGAAGGCGGCGCGGCCGCCGTGGAAAGAAAACGGCGGTCGCGCCGCGGAGGAACTCGCCGCGGCGCGGCGACGCGCGGCGATCGAAGCGTCGAAGCGCGCGGCGACGCGAGGCGGCAGGAGCGGCGGCGTCGGTCACGGTCACGGCGACGTCGCCGCGGGAAGCTCCGGGGGTAACCCGCTGTGGAATCCGGCGCGGTACGTCCCGCCTCCGCCCGGCGCGGGCGGCGTCTCGGCGTCGGACCTCACGCTCTCCACGGACGAGGTCGCGGAAGTTCGAGACGTGAACGGGAACTGGTACCCGTGCAACGCGTGCCTTGACACGGGCAACGGCGGGTGCACGCTCATCGTGAGGCGGACCGCGATCCGCATGGGTCTGTGCGACGGCTACGGGAATCCGCTCGCGGGCGGGCGAATGCGGTACGTGCACGTGCGCGGCGTCGTCGAGGGGGCGTCGGAGAAGGTGCCGACGACGACGATCGAGTACCGGATCAAAGGGAAGACGATGATCGTGGACGCGGGGATCACGGGCGCGGAGATGGGGTGCGATCTGCTCGTGTCCCGGGCGGAGATCGCGCGGTTCGAGGACGACGGGTTCACGCTGCGCGCGCGGTGAGGAAGGACGAGGACGAGGAGATCAGACGTAGAAGACGACGACGCGACGTCGAACGCGGAAATTTATTACGAATTCGCTGCTAATCCCTTCGTGGCTTCTGCCATTGCGGCCCGTCGGGCGCCCCCCCACTTCCCCCCGCGCGTTTATCCCCCACGTTCGTCGCCGCCCCTCCGCCCGAGCCGTTCTGCGTGCCCGCGAACGCATACGCGCCAAAGCTGACGTTCCCGCCGCCGCCGCCGCCGCCGCTCGCGCCGATCGCGGCGGCGGCGGCGTTTTCGTCATCCTCTGGCATGTCGAACACGCCGTTGTGCATGTCGAGCGCGAACCGTATGCACTCGTAGACCTTCTCCGCGTTGTTCCGAATGAAAATCGAGTCGGACGCGTCGTTCCAAATCTCCGCTTTCAGCACCGCGAGCGACTCGGGCGGCTTTTCGCTGAGAATGTCCAACAGACCGTCGCGCGCGATTTGAAACTTCGGGACGTGGTTCCCAAACTTCGACATCCTCGCCGCGGCCATGTTCTCTCGCAGACGATCGAGCGCCTCGTAGATGGCGTTGTACTTCCCGTCGTCGACGGCTTCCTTCTGCGCCGGCGGCGGTTCCTCCGCGGCCGCCCCCGGGGTCGGCCCGTAACAGTACGCGTCTAGGTCCTCGACGGTGTCGAGCGCAGGACCGACGCTCGCTCTGCCCGCGGCGGCTGCGGCGCCGGCGGCGGCTTTCCCGCCCTTCCCTCCCTTCCGCTTCTCGCTCCGCGCGGCGACGGCTTCTTTGATCGCGAGGTCAGCCTTCTTGTTCGCCGCGTCCGTGGCTTCGTACCGGTTCGCCGCCGTCTTCGCGGCGACGGCGAACGGCAGCGTCGCCTTCGCTCTGCCTTCGTACAACTCGCGCGCGTTCGCGTCGTTCCTCTTCACCGTGGTCACCGAGCTCGAGTACGGCCCGCCGTTGTCCGTCCGCGTCGTGATCTCGTACAGGTAGTTATTTACCACCATCCACCGCAGCAACCGCTCGACGTCGCTCTTTTTCATAGCGCTGCACGCGCCGTATCCGCGCGCGCGGTCTAACCGTTGCGACTTGATCGCCATCGATTTCGAGCCGCGCAAGACGTCGATGATGAGCGTCATGCTTCCGCCTTTGCCGCCGATGCCGGAGACGACGTCCGCGGCGCCTAGAGCCTCTCGCGTCACGTCCCTAACCTCGAACACCGCGCCCTCGTGCTTCGCGACGCACGCGTCGCACATGCGCCCGCACTTTTGAGAGTCGAACGTCTCGTTGAAGTGACCTAAAAGAAGCGTCCGGCGGCACTCGCACACGTTTTCGCAGTACGAGACGAGCGAGTTCAACGCGCCTAGGTTGTTATCCAGCACCTCCCGCGGCGCGTTGTCCTTCATCGCGCTGTCCATGAGCATGCTCCGCGCCTTTTGCGCGTCGCCGTACGAGTAGTACAGGTAACAGAAGCTCTTCGCGCCGTCGCGTCCGGCGCGGCCGCTCTCTTGATGATACGCCTCCAACGATTTCGGTATCGAGTGATGAAACACGAACCGAACGTCCGGCTTGTTGATGCCCATCCCAAACGCGACCGTGGCGCATATGATGCTCACCTGCCCGTTGCTCCACTGTCGCTGGTTGTACTCCCTCTCCTCGCCCATGCCGGCGTGGTACGGCACCGCGGCGAGGCCTTTCGGAAACCGCTTGTCCGCGCGCGGTTTCGTATGCAGCGCCGCCGCCACCTTGACGCAGTCGTTTTGCGAGAAGCAATACACGATCCCGCACGCGACCCTGCCGTTCCTCTGCGTGAACTTCTCCGCGATGATGTCCTTGATCTCGTCCACGGTCTTCTTCCCTTTTTTCCGCACCTCGTACATGATGTTCGTGCGGTTGAACGTCTGAAAAAATCGCGCGCACCGCTCCAGACCGAGCTGCCGCACGCAGTCGTCCTGGACGCGTTTCGTCGCCGTCGCGGTGAGGCCAATCACCGGGACCTGCCTGAACCGATCTTTCAATATCCGAAGCGCTTTGTAGTCTTTCCTGAAGTCGTGCCCCCACGACGAGATGCAGTGCACCTCGTCGACGACGATTCGAGCCAGCATCCCGCGGCCGTGGAGCGTCTCGAGCGCGCGCATCAGCTTCGGCGACCGCGCGACTTTCTCCGGGGTGAGATACAACAGCTTCAACCCGGGAGGGTTCGAGTACAGCTGCGAGTACGTCGCGTCCTGGGCCGCCTGCCCTTCGTTCTCCGCGCTGCCCAACACCGCGGCCGGGATGTTCATCTCGCTCAGATGATGCAACTGGTCTTGAATCAGCGACACGAGCGGGGAGATGACGACGGTGACGCCGGACGAGATGAGCGCCGGGAGTTGGTAACACAGCGACTTCCCGCCGCCCGTGGGCATCAACACCAAGCAGTCGTGCTTCGCGAGCGTGCAGTTGATCGTCGCGAGCTGCATTCCGCGGAAATCCTGCGCGTTGAACGTGTTTCGAAGGACCGCACGACACTCGCTCGACCACTCGTACGTCTCTTTCGACCATTTTTTGATCTCGTGATCGACGAACGTGCAGTCCACCTCGGGGATGGACGCCGCCGCGTCCCCGGGCGCCGCGGGCGGGCCGTCCCACTGCTGCTGCTGCTGCTGCTGCTGTTGGTACTGCTGATCGTACCCTCCCCCCATTCCCCCGCCGCCGCCGTTGTACGGCTGTTCGTACGGGTTGTAGTTGTTGTTTTGATACGACGGCCCCGGCCCCGGCCCCGGCCCCGGCCCCGGCCCGCCTCGGTACCCGCCGCCGTCTCCGTACATCCCAGACCCGGGCGGCGCCATCCCGACGCCGCCGCCGCTACCACCGCCGAGGCTCCCTCCCCCGCTCGAGACGTTCACCGCCGCCGCGGAGACGAACCCTCCGTTCCCTACTCCGCCGCCGCCGCCGCCCGTCGCGCGCGATTCGATCTCAGACCCTTCCCTCCGCCGCTGCTCCAACGTCCGCCGCTCCTTGTTCGTCATCAGCGTGTCGTCGTCGTTCAGTTGGTAGTCGATCTCCGCGAGCGTGTCCTTCAGCGCCGCCGCGTGCGCGCGGAGCTGCGCGCAGTCTCGCAGCGCGCAGCCGTGCTCGCAGCGCCACTCGAGCCCGGAGCCGTCCAGCGGCGGCGGCGTCGCCGTCGTCGCCGCCGCCGCCGCGGGCTGTCGCCGCGGCTGTTCCGGCCGAGGCTGCGGCTGCTGCTGCTGCTGCGTCCGACCGCCCATCGCGGCGGGCGCGGGCGCGGGCGACGGCGGCAGCGACGCGTTCTGCCGCCTGACCATGTCGTCCAGGTCGAGGTTCATGAGGAGCTCGTCGTCCAGGTCGTCGTCCGACGGCGGCGGGGAGTCGCACAGCTGTACGAACCGCGCCGGCGGCGGCGGTTCGTATCGGCTTCGGCGCGCCGCGGGGGGGGGACACACCCCAGCGGCCGGCGGCGGCGCGGGGGCGCGCGCGTTCGCGCTGCCGTCGCGTCGCGGCGACAGCGCGGCGGCCGCGCGCGGGGCTCGCGACGGCGGCGCGGTCCCCGACGGCGGCGCCCGGCCGACCTCGCATACCTCGCGCTTCGTCGTCGCCGGGTTGAGGGGTGCCACGTTTTCGAGACTCATCGTCGGTCGCGCGCCGGACGTCCCCGCCTTGGCGCCTCGCGCGCCGGGGGGGATCGGCCGGCGCAGGAACTCGAGGCCGCGCAGCGCGGCGCGGTCGACGTTCGTCGCGGGCGAGAACACCGCGCCGGTCCGGGGTTCGAGGCGGTCCGCGTACGCGAAGCTCATTTTGAGATCCGCCGCGACAGCTGCCGATGGAGCCTCGCCTCCTTCCCCAAGCCGTCTCTTCCTCTCTCGCGACCTCTCGGCTCGCCCTCGAATCACCGCGCGGACGCGACGCGCATGCGCGGCGTGCGCCGGGGCGGCTCTTCTCGCCGGACGTTCGCGCCGCGCTCGCCTCGTAGTGCGTCGCTCGCGCGAGATTTCATCGCGTTTGAAGCTCATGGAACTCGACCTCTACGCGCCGCGCTTTCGTCCTCAGCAGAGGGGAGGTCTTCGGCGCGGGCGGGCGCCGCGCGTCGCACCCGCGGACGCGCGACGCACGACTCGCGGCGCGGAAACGTCCTCACGAACGCGCCGGATCGCGACCGCGCGCTCAAACCCGCGCTCGAGGCGCTCGCTTCGTCGTCCACCGCGTCTTCGTCGCGCGGATCCGAGCAGAGGGTCGAGCGCGTCGTCCTGTCTCCGTCTCCAGAGGAAAAAGACGGGCGGACGGCGTCATGGCGGACGTCCTGTTCCCCGTGTACAACAACTTCTTCATCGGCGCGTACCAGGCGTGCGTCAACGAGGCCGCGGAGATGACGAACTTGTCGGGCGCGGACGCGATCGAGCGCGACTGCTACATGTACCGCGCGTACATCGCGTTGGGGAGCTACCAGGTCCGTCGCGAGGGATCCGTTCGAGCTCTTCTCTCCTCTCGCCCGCTCGTCGTCCCTACCTACCCCCGCGGCGCGCTGACGATCCCGCCCCTCTCCGCCCGCCTTGGATCGAAACAGATGGTCATCGACGAGATCACGGACGAGTCCGCGACGTCACTGCAGGCGATCAAGCTCCTCGCGACGCACGCCTCGCGCGCGCACGAGCGCGAAGACTGCGTCGCGCGAGTCACCGAGCTCCTCGCCGATTCCGCGCTCGCGAACAACCCGTGGCTGCAGCTCTCCGCGGCGCTGATGCACGCGGCGGACGACAACATCGTCGAGGCCATGAAGTGCTGCCACACCGGTCTGTCGTTGGAGCTCATGGGTCTGATGTGCCACCTCCTGATCAAGATCGACCGCCCCGAGCTCGCGGCGAAGCACCTCGCGGCGATGCAAGCCGCCGACGACGACGCGACGTTGACGCAGCTGGCGACGGCGTGGGTGAACCTCGCCAACGGCGGCGGGAAGATTCAAGACGCGTTTTACGTGTACCAGGAGCTCGGGGATAAGTATCAGTGGACGTCGAAGCTGCATAACGGCAGCGCGGTGTGTCAGATGGCGATGGGGAGGTACGACGACGCGGAGAAGGACCTCGTGGAGGCGATCAACAAGGACAGCAAGGACCCGGACACGCTGCGGAATTTGGCGGTGTGCGCGTTGCACTTGGGGAAGCCCACGACGCGGTTCGTGAACCAGCTGAAGACGCTGACGCCGCGGCCGGCGGCGATCGAGCAGCTGGAGGCGCTGGAGAAGGCGTTCGAAGTCGCGAACGAGAGTTACGCGGCGGCGCCGGCGGAGGTCGAGGCGTGAGGGAGAGGGTCTGCCCGCTGCTGTGTGCGTTGTAAAAATTCTTCTCGTGAAACTACGTGAAACCGAGCACCTCGTCATCGCGCCATACCCACTCGCGCCGCGATGGCGGCGGCGTCCACGCCGCCGCCGCCGCCGTCCGCGGACGCGCCCGCGCCTCGCGCGAAAAAAACCGCGCTGGATTACATGCTCGGCGGGAACTCCGTGAAGACGAACGGATACCTCGCCGCGTTCGCGTCGAACGCGCCGCTTTTGCGCGCGCTTCGTTCCGACGAGGCGTACGCTTCGATAATACGAACGCACGGCCTGAAGAAGGAGATAACGGAAGCGTCCGCCGCGTTAAACCGCGTGAAACGATGCATCGAGCGACTGACGTCTCACGACACGAGCGCGGGGGGCGCGAAACGCAAAGACGGCGCCGGCCTGTGCTTCGTGGACCTGTGCAGCGGCAAGGGCTTCCTGTCGATGCTGCTGGCGTGGGAGTTTCCGAAAGCGAAAGTGCTGCAGGTGGACAACGACGACAACCTCACGCGATTGGACCACCTCACGTCGCTCCCCACCATCACGTTCCATCGCGAGGACATCTACTCCGAAAACGCGCAGAAGCTCGTATCGGACGCGGTGCGCGACGCCGCGTGCGAGGCGTGCGTCGTCCTCGGCGTGCACCTGTGCGGCGAACTGTCGCGGAGGGCGGTGACGCTGTGGCGCGACTCCGGCGCCCACGCGCTGGTCCTCGCGCCGTGCTGCCTCCCTCGCCGTCGCCGCCACGACGCGTTCGGTTTCCACGTGAAAGATCAAGCGCGCGCGATGAAGGTGCCGTCGTATCAGCTCTGGTGCACGATGCTGTACGGGCTGTTGCCGCGCGAGAGTCACCACTGCGAGATGTGCGCGGACGACGACGTCGTCGGTCCCTTCGGGACGTTCGTCTGCGCGACGAGGAAAGGCGCCGCCGGCGTCGACGCGGGACGCGCGGAGGGCGCGGTGCGGCGCGGGATCAGGGCGGGGCGGGAGGCGAGCAAGTGGGTCATCTTGCGCGATGGATGATACAGTAAGACGTCAACTCGATGGCATGGATGGATTACAACAGAACAAAAAGCAAAAAAGTTCACGCCGTCTGGCACGCGTCCGAACACGCCGCCCCGAGCGCGGTCTTCCAGTCCGTCTCGTCCACCCACGGCCCGAACTGAATCGCGTCGTTCGCGTTCCCCGCCTCCGGGTTCGCGCCGCAGCCCTGGATGTCCCCCGGCGCGCTCAAGTTGGTGCGGAACGACCCGTTCGGCGTCCGGCGGTTGAGTTTTTTCGTCCAGTGCCGGTTGTACAAGTTGAACCCGCCTTTGAGCAACACGAGGTGCTTGTACCCCGCGTCGTCCAGGGCTTCCAGCGCGGCGACCGCGCGCTGGCGACCGTCGCTGCAGCACACGATGATCTTCGCGTTTTCTTTATCAGGAAACGCATTTTGTACGTCCGTCGCGAAGTTTGGGTTCAGCGTCTTATTCGCGAACACCTTCGCGCCCGCGGACGCGTCGAAGCGATATCCGGTGGACCGTATCAGCTCGATCGCGCGCACCTTGTGCGGCCCGGATACGACGACGGTCTCGAACACGCCGCCGATCGTCCCGGGCGGCGGGTTCGGGAACTGACCGAAGAATTCGATCTCTTGCTCCGCGCGGACGTCGACGACGTCCCAGTCGTCGTCCCACAGCGTCCGCGCTTGTTCCACGTCCGCGACGAATTCCTCCCCCGAGTTGAACGCGTCTGTCGTGTCGTCGCGGGGAGACGCGGAGGGCGACGGTCGGCGGGCGGCGTGAGACGGCCGCGACGACAGACGCGGGATGATGTGGACGACGCGCGGCAGCAGCGCGAAAGGTGGAAGAAGACGAGACGCGCGTCGCGAGCGGGTCTGAAGACGACGACGGGACGACGCGAACGACGGGTAGAAACACGTGACACACCGCGCGTCATCTGATCGAACTTCGCGTCGCCGTACTCGGGAGCGAACGCGACGGAGACGTGCTGCGGCAGCGCGCGCGCGGTCGCGGCGCGGGCGCTCGCGCGCGAGACGCGAGGCGCGGCGGGGGTGGGAGTGGATACCCTCGGGGCGACGCGTGCCGCGGCGGCGGCCATGGCGCGCGTGGGAGTGGCCGAGAGAGATGATAACGAAAAAACCACGTGGTGCGTTACGACGCTGGCTGACGAGGCGGAAAGTGCGCGTGCGTCCGACCACCTCTCCTGGGGGACCTCGCTCACTTCGCCGCGCGCGTCGACGTCGTCGCCGCGTCGTCGTCCGTCATGTCCCCGCGAGATCCCCCCGCGCCCGGGCAGTTCACGTTCGTGAAGAAGGAAGATCGCGGCGACGAAGCCGACGGAGCGAACGTCAACGCGGCGCTGAGGCACGCCGGCAAGGCGCTGCGAAGCGAGATCGCCCAGAGCGACGGGCAGCTCGCGTCCGACTTCGAAGCCGTCCTGCGCGGCGAGGCCATCTACCTCCCGCACTTCCACTGCGCGGCGAGGGACTACGCCCTCCTCGCGTCGCTCGCGAAGGATCTCGAGGAGCACGAGGCCGCCCCGGGGACGGACGACGCCGACGCCGCCGGCGCCGGGGCGGGCGGGATGGTGAACTGGAGCAAGCACCTCAAGCACGAGAACCCGACGTTCAGCGCGACGTTCCAATCCGTCGTGGACGCGATGGCCGCGCACTTCGACGTGGACGTGTACGCCACGCGCTTAAACTTCTACCGCGACGGCACGGACTGGAAGCCGTTCCACCACGACTCGCACGCGTTCGGCGGCAGAGAGAAGCGCGAGGATTTCACCATGGGCGCGTCGTTCGGCGGCGAGAGAGAGCTCGAGTTTCTTCACGAGCCGAGCGGCGGGACGTTTACGTTTCCGCAGAAAAACGGGGACGTCTTCGCGTTCACGACGGAGGTGAACAAACGGTTCAAGCACGGGGTGCCAAAGCTCACGAGGGGGATCGGCGGGCCGAGGTTCAGCATCATCGCGTGGGGGCGGCGAAGGAGTCTGAACGCGCGGAACGGCGGCGGCGCGGGCGGGGAGGTCAGAGAGGAAGGCGAAGCCCGCGCGGGGAGCAGCGGGAGAGGGAACGCCGCGACGACGGCGCCGGCGCCGGCGGCGACGGCGCGCGCGACGGAGAAGACGAACGAGCTCGTGATGGGCTCCGGGGAGGTCTCCGAGTTGATTCGGTCGTTCCTCGCTGAGGAGAGCGCGAAGGCGTCGACGCGCGGGGGGAAGCCGGGCGGGGCGCGGCGGATCCCGCCGCCGCCGCCGACGCCGACGCCGACGCGCGCGGTTTCGAAACCAAAAAAATCCACCAAACCGCCTCCGCCGCCCACCGCGGGGAGCGCCGCGCTCGCGTCAGATCTGCGACGAACGCTCGGCGAGGACGCGTATCTCGCGCTGAGAGACCTCGCGCGCGCGTTCCAGCGCGGGGAAACGACCGCGGCGGCGTTTTACGACGCCGCCGTCGCGGTGGACGTCGACGTCGTGTTGCGCCTCGCCGCGCACTTGCCGGACGCGAGGAAACGCGCCGAGTTGCTCGAGGCGCACGCGGCGAGAATATCGTAGCGCGACGACGTGAGATGGCGCGATAGAGATATAGATGATGAGAATAGATGAATGTAGTAGTCAGGGTAAACAACGTGCGCGCGTTATGATTGATGCGATGTGATGCGACGCGAGCGTCGCGCGAGACGTCCTCTCTCGTCCTCCGTCGCGACGGCGCCTCAGTCGGACCCCTCGAGGAGGGACGACCAGCGGTTAGACGTCGTCGCGGACAACAGAATCTGCAGCTCCGTGCCCTTCTCGACGAGGCACCACGTGCTCTCGTCGCCGTGCACCGTCCCCGCGAGTTTGCCGTCGATGATGGTCTCCCCGAAGACGTCCACCTTGAGCGAGTTGGCGCCAAACTTCACGGCGAGGTCCTTCTTCGTCGCGGGCTTCGCCAGCGTGATTCGCACGATGATCTCGTCGTCCTTCATCTCCCACTTCCACTTCGTGTCGCCGCTGCCGCCGTCGATTTCGCCCATGTCTTGGGGCGGGCCGCCGCCCATGCCTCCCATGCCGCCCATCATGCCTTCCATGCCTCCCATGCCTCCCATGCCTCCCATGCCGCCTCCCATGCCTCCCATGCCGCCCATCATGTTCTGGAGGTTCGCCATGTCGCCGCCCAAGCCCGCGGGGCCCGCGGCGCCGGCACCGCCCATGGATTTCTGTTGAGGGAGGAGGGAGGGATGGGGCGAGAGAGGAGAGAGATCTGGGTCAGCGGACGCCGCGATCGGAGGAGGGAGCGAGCGAATCGCGACCGCGGACGGAACGAACGATCGATCGCGGTGGGGAGCGTTCGCGATCTGGTCGGTGGCGGACTGGAGGCGCGCGCGCGCGCACCATCATCTCCTCGAACTTCTTCATGTCGAGGCCGGACATGTCGTCCTCTTCGCCCTGAGATCGCGCGCGAGGGGGGATGAACGGATCGATCGGGGTATGGGCTCGGTCAGCGGATCCGTTCGATCGAGATCTTCGCGCATGGCGTGGAGTGCCTAAGAAGGACGGCGACGGTCGATCGATTTCATTTGACGTTCACGATCTCGACCGAGGGACGAGGCGTCGCGCACCCCGGGCGCGGCCGCGGTGTCCGCGGTTTCCTCTTCCTCGAGAGGCGGCATCTCCGGGTCGAGCTCTTCGATCTTCGGGGGAGTCATTTCGTGCGTGCGGGCGTGCGTCGACGGCGATCGAGTGTGATCGGACGCCGCGAGTGGCGGCGGTGTTTTCGTCGAGGTTCTTCTCGAATAAGCGCGGCGCGCCAACTTTGATCTCAGTCAGAGCACTGCGGAGTGCCACGGTGGGCGCGACGACGGACTAGGACTGGACTCCTGGAGCGCCTCTCACAGCTTCCCGCCCTTCTCCTCGAGCACCTTCGCGAGGCTCTCCCACTTCTCCACCGCCTCCGCCGGCACCTCCCCGCCCTCGCCGGTGCCGTGCAGCACGACCGTCATCATCGTCTTCGGCGTCGGCACGGGCACCGTCCCCATGGGCGCCGCCTCCTCTCCGAAGAACCGAATCGCGTAGATCTTTCTCCCGCCGCGTTCGCTCCTCGCGAGCGCGACCTCTCGCACCCTGGACAGGAACAGGTGCGCCTCGAAGGTCTTGTCGTCGCTCGCGAGCGTGCAGCACGTCCCTTTCGCGCCGAGCTCGGCGAACCGCGGGGTTTTCGGCCACGGTCGCACGGACTCGAGGATGCCGCCGTCGCCGACGACGATGAATCGCGACGGAACGTCCGCCAGCGTCGCGCTCGCCGCGACGATGAAGTCGACGAGCGCCGCGTTCTCCTTGTCGTCGCACGCGCCTTCCTTGTCGCAGTGGAACACTTTCTCCGCGTCAAATCGCGCGCGCCACTCTTTCGCCCAGTCCGACGGCGGGAGGTCCGCCTCCGCCGCCTTCGCGTCCGCCGCGGCGGCCGCGACGACGACGCTGACGCGGCGAGATCCCGACGCGCGCGCTGAATGATAATCTTGTTCGTTTCTTCTCCGCGACCGCGGCGCCGCGGAGAACGGCGCGCGGACGTCGCGGTTCGACGCGCGCGACCGCGGCGCGATCGCGATCGCGCGCGGGGAGGAGGATAGCATCGCGTTCGTCATCGTGCGCTCGCGAGATGGGCGCGGCGCGTGCTGCCCGCCCGAACTTCTGACATCAACCGTTCGCTGACGCGGGAGAAGAGAAAACCCGCGCGAGATCTGATCTTGCAGATTCGTGCCACCTCCGATAAGAGCTCCAGGGATACGCGCGGACGGCACCGAGCCTCGCGTCGCGTCACATCACCGGCGCGCGCGAACGGCCGAATCGAAGACCCGAGACCCTTCGAGACGCGCACGACATCATGGCGTCCACGCTCGTCGCGACGACGCCGCTCGCGGCTTCCCCGCGCCGCGCGAACGCGTCCGCGCCGCGAAAGATGATGCGATCGCGCCTCGCCGGCGCCCGCGGCGATAATAATCCCGTCGTCGTCCGGGTTTCCCGAGTCTCCCTCACGGGTCCCCGGAGGACGCGCGCGATCACCGTCGCGCGCGCGACCGCGACCGCGCCCCCCGAGACCGAATCCTCCGCGACGAATGAAACCTCCGCCTACCAGTTCGACTGGGCCAAGGCGTGGTACCCGATGTCGCCGATCGCGTTCCTCGACCCGACGATCCCGAATCCGATGAAAGTCCTGGGCAAGTCCCTGGTCGCGTGGAAGTCCGAAGACGGGACGTGGTCCGTCGCGAACGACGAGTGCCCGCACCGCATGGCGCCGCTCTCGATGGGGTTCCTGAGCGAGACGAACCAGCTCGTGTGCCGGTACCACGGCTGGGAGTTCAACGGGAAGGGCGAGGCGACGCGCGTGCCGATGTCAGGCGCGTTCTATACACTGGTTCCCATACGACCGCATTGGCGTGGTGAACGCCGATCCTCAAGGACTTTGCCCGGCGCATCTCTCCGCTCACCCCTCGCTTTCAATCCCCGTCCTCGGCACCTTTCAACTCCAACTGACGCCTTTCAACTCAACCCCGACATTCGCTTGTATGGAACGACCCTCAGTCGACGCCAAGGCGGAGCGCACCGCGTGCGCGTCCCCGCGCGGCTGCGCCGTCTCCTACCCCGTCAAAGAGCAGAGCGGCGTGCTGTGGGTGTGGCCCACCCCCGGCGCGGACGCGTGGCTCGAGGCGAGCGCGGTCCCGGTCGCGACCGAGGCGGCGGAGTTTGGCGACCTCCCCGGCGACTGGGGCATGGTTGAACTCCCCGTGGGCTACGCGCCCGCGCTCGAGAACCAGTTCGACCCGTCGCACGCGGAGTGGCTGCACGCCAAGTACGACGAGATCACGGGTGGGCTGAGCGAGACGATGAACGTGAAGTTCGAGCCGATGACGCGGTTCAACGTGAAAGAGGGCAGCATGAACAAGATCGGGTTCATCGTTCAACACGGCGGGTACAACGCGGGGAATAAGGACGTCAGCGCCGAGCGGCTCTTCACCGCGCCGTGCTCGTCGCGGAGCGAATACAAGGACGCGAGCGGGAACCGGTACCTCTCCGCGGCGATTCTGTACACGCCCACGGAGCCCGGGCGGTGCCTCATGTTCACCAAGTTCCAAGCGCACACGCGACGGGCGGTGCAGGGCGCGGGCGGGAAGAAGATCACCACGGGCGACCGCGTCAACGCGTTGCTCTCCGCGCCGGCGCAGAACGCGTTTCGGTGGTACATGGAGTTCATGGTGAAAGATCCCGCGCTCGTGCGCGTGGGTCTGAACCACGGCGTGTACGGCAACGCGGCGTACACGCTCGGGGATCAGGACATTCAGGCCATGCACGGCGTCGAAGTCGCGATGGAGAGCCGGGAGAAGAGCTGGAAGCAGTCGTATTATCTGCCGTCGCCGTCGGACGCCGGCGTGGCCGGGTTCCGGAAGTGGATGGACGACCACGCCGGCGGCGGCGTGCGCTGGGCGGAGGGCGTCAGGGACGACGCGTCCAAGGTGAAGCCGATCGCGCAGCGTCTGGAGCGGTACGAGCGGCACACGCGGCACTGCCGCCACTGCAAGGAGACGCTGAAGGAGCTCGGGATTTTGGAGGAGCGGTGCGTCGCGTTGTCCAACGCGATGCTCGCGGGCGGGCTCGCGCTCGGGCTCGGCGGCGCGATCGTCGGGCAGGAAGGGCCCGCGGTGGTGTCCCTGTGCATCGCGGGGATCATGATGAACGCCGCGGAGCAGGTGAGGGACATGCAGAACGAGTTCAAGACGTCCGTCCCGAGACGGGGGGATCCGATCCCGAAGCTGTGGTGATTCGACGCGCGAAGACGGAAGGATTATGATATTTTCGCCAGAGGGCGTTCGCTTCGTTTCGCTGTGATGCCAAAGTACATTACATACTTCCCTACTACTGTACTGCATCTTCTTCTAGCGCGTGTACTCCGAGTCCGTCTCCGAGTACGATCCGTCCGTGTACTCCGTGCTCCGCGTCGCCGCGGTCCCGACGCGTCCCACCGCGCCGCCGCCGCCGGCGCGGACGAACGGCAGACCCATCGACGCCGCCAGCAGCGCGTTGTTCTCCGTGATCCAATCCTCGGCGAGGACGCCTCTCGGGATCGTCTTCGCGTACGGCTTCCCCGCGGACTTCTTAAGGAACGCGGGCTCGAGCTTCTCGCCGACGTACGGCGGGAACATGACCCCGGGCATCCCCGCGGCCGCGGGTTCGGGAAGCATGCCGAGACGTTGGTCCTCGAGCAGACGAACGAGCACGCTCGACTTGTCCACGGTGTACTTGACTTTTTTGTTCTCGATCCACCCCTCGACGACGTCCTCCACGGACATCCCCTTCTCCTGGCCCTTCACGAGGTCCTGCAAGAGCGGCAGCTGCACCGAGCCGTGGAACAGCGGGAGCTGGTACGACCCGGAAGCGATGAACTCCGTCCCGGGCTCGAACACGGGAAGCACCGCCCACCCGACAGATGTGGCGCTTCGCCCGCTCAACGCGCGGACGTCGATGATCACCGCGAGATTTTGCTCGTAAATCACGTGCTGCCTGGACTGGAACCCATCCTTCCACCTCGGCGCGACGAGCGACGACGACACCTCGGGTTGTTGCGTGAACATGACGTCGTCCGAGGCTTTGGACGCGTAAAACGTCCCCGGAGGGTAAAGCGACTGCACCGCGACGTGGAAGGCTTGCTTCGACAGCCTCGCCGCGGCGTCCACGGCGACGTGAAACCCGAGCTCCGGGGCGTACGGATCGCTTCGGCGGTAGTTCAGCGGGCGGTCGTTCGCAAACTGCGGGCGCTCGAGGCGCTTCGCCATCCACCGCTCGAGATCCGCCTCGGACATGCCGGATAAGACTTTCGGTTCAAACGTCGCGCGCGCGAGCTCGAGCATAACCTCGCGCACCGCGGGACCGGGAGACGCGAGCCGGTGCGCGTACAGGCGGCGTTCCACCGCGGTCGGGACGACCGCGCCGCTGTCGTACGCGCCGTCCTCGTAGGCGGGAACGGCTTTGTTCGCGGGCGAGTCCGCCCTCGTCGCGACGAGCGATCGGATGAGCATCGACGCGCACGGAATTTTCGGACGCGAGAGCAAATCCTTGAGGTTGAACCCGCTCCCGCTGCCGTCGTTCGCGGCGTAGATCGGGACTTGAAACCCGCCCTCTTTCAACGAGTACCCCTTCGCGCCCGTGGACTTGGGCGGCTCCCCCGTCTCCGGATCCACGAAGAACGGAAACACGACGTACCCCACGGTCCGTTGCTGCGACGTCCCCTTTTCGATCGTCTCGATTTGTAAGAGCGCCGTCGCCGTCGCGTTGTTCCACCGCCCAGTCGCGAACCGCTGCCGCGCGTGAAACCGCGGCGAGAACGATAAAGAATCCGTCTTCGCGTGCGCGATGAACTCCGGCGCGAGAGGCTCCCCGGCGGCGGAGATGACCCGCCCGACGATGCGCGTGATCGTGACGTTAGGGGGCAAGAACCTCGCCGCGTCCATGCACAACACGAGCCCATCCCCGGGTTGGTACGCGTCTCCTCTCTGCCCCGCGCCTACGTGCCGGACTTCTCGCCACGCCCTGCGAGGCACCCCGGCGACGTCCTCGTGACGGTTCGCCTCGTTCTGCGCGGCAGCGGCTTTGTCGCCGTAGGGATCGACGTCGTACTCCGGCGCGCCCGCGCCCGGCTCGACGCCGCCGCGTCGCGACGCGACGCCGCCGACGACGGGCGTCCCCGGCGGCGTCGGGTCTCGCATCAGATCCACCGGCTCCACGGTCACCCTCACCTCCACCTTCGCGCCTTCCATTCGCATCGTGCGCTCGGCGTTGAGCATCAGCGGGAGCTGAAGCAGCGGCGATACCTGCAACCCCGTCGGCGGCGCGCCGTCGACGCCGAGGACGGGCAGGTGCGCCCACGCGACGACTTCCTCGGGGCCGCCGGCTTCGTCTTGCGCCGCGTGGAGTTCGAGCACGAGCTTCGTCGCCGCGGTGACGATGACGCCTCTCAGCGTCACCCTCGCGCGCCACTTGTACCGCGCCGCGCCGTTTCGGTCGTGCCCGCTCGGCTCCAACAGCGGCCCGCGCGCGCGGACGCCCGCCCCGGACGCGTCCCTCGACACGTCGTGGCCTTCGTACGCCGCCGCGACGAGCCTCGCGGCGGCGTTTCCTAAATCCATGGGCCCCGCGCCTTCGAGAACGACGCGGATCACGAACCGCGGCGGGCCGCCGCCGCCGGCGAACGCGCCCCCGCGCGGCGTCAAGGAGTCGTCCTCGAAGTACGACGTCCGCGTCGCCGTGTACGTCTCCCCCGCGCCCGACGCCGTGACCTCGCTCTCCGTCGCGGAAACCTCCGAGAATTCGCTGCCCTCCATCGACGCCCGCTCCGGGACGGTGGCGAGCTCGGACTTTTCCTTCGTCTCCGGCGCCGCCGGCGGCGGCTGCCCGGGCGTGACGTAGGGCATCTGCCCGGGCGGCGGGTAGCCGTACGGCGGCGGATACCCGTAAGGCATCGGCGGAGGGTAGCCCGCGTACGGCGGCGGCGGCGGCGGAAAGTGGTCCTCGTGCCGGCCCCCCGACCGCGGGCGCGGGCCCTCTTTCAACTGCACCATCTCCGACTGCAACCGAACGAGCTCGACCTCGCGCGATTGCCTCCCTATCTCGAGCTCTTGCTTCAGCATCTCTTTCAGGTGCTGCGCATACAGGTTACGAATCTCCTTGTCGTTCCCGAGCTCCGCGGGGAGGCGAGGGACGGGCATCCCGGGGAGCCCTTCGCCGCCGCCGCCGCCGCCGCCGCCGCCGCCGTTTTTCGAGAGCTCGATCAGCTGCTTCAGGTGATTCCGCATCTCGTCCACGTCGTGCTTTAAATCGTTCGCGTAGTCCGGCGTCCGCGCGTTCCTTCCGCGGGCGTCGTCGTTCCCGCCGTTGCCTCCCCCCGCGCCCATCCCGTTCCCCATCATCATCGGATGCATCCCGCCCATCATCATCGGGTTCATCATCGGGTTCATCATCATCGGATGCATCATCGGATTCATCCCTCCGTACATCCCTCCGGTCCCGGGATACATCCCGGGATACATCCCCGGGTACTGCTGCGGCTGTTGTCCCCAAGCCCCGCCCTGTTGCTGCGCCGCGTTCGGGTTGAGCTTCGGGTCCTCGTACGGCTCCTTCGGCTTCCGCTCCTTCGGATTCGGCGGCGGATTCGAATTCGAATCCTCCGGCTCGCTCTCGCTCTCCACCCCCCCGAGCGCCTCCTCGTCCCTTCTCTGCCGCTCCGCGAGCTCCTTGCGCGCGGCGTCGTCCGCGATCCGCTGCGCTTTCGCCATCTGCCGCTTGTGCTCCGCCTGCGCGTCGTCCAGCCCTTTCCCCCCCTTGAGCGCCGCCAATCTCGCGACGTTGGCGCGTTCCTCCTTCTTCAGACGCTCCACCATCGCGACGCGCTGACCCTCCTTCACCTCCCTCGGCGTGCCGCCGTGGCGGTGCTTGTCCGAGGTGCCGTTCGCGGCGGAGACGCGCGAGAGCTCCTCGCCGACGCCGAGCTGCCTCTGAAGCAGCTCGCGTCGACGCTGCTCCAGCTCCTTCACGCGCTTTTCGTACGCCCTCGCCTGCTCCGGCGGGAGCTTCCCCTTCGCCATCGCGTCCTGCTCCTCCGCGCGTCTACGCAGATCGCTGACGTGCTGGTCCAGGCCTTGCATCCGCTCCTGCGCGGCTTTCATCTTCGCCTCGAGCGCGTCGTCGTCGAGCGACGTTATCGGCTTGCCGTGACGGTCGTTCATGGACCCGAGTCGAACCGTGGAGGTGAGAGGGGGCTTGCCGCTCCCTCCGCCGGACTTTGCCGAGCGCGGAGACGCCACCGCGGGCTCGCTGTCGCTGTCCGTCTCCGACGTGAAGTCGGACGAGTTCGTCTCCGAGTCCGATGAGTCATCGTCGTCGCCCGCGGCCGGCTTCGGCGGCATCGTTCGCGCGGGCGCGATTCGTTCGATCTTCTTCCACCGGTGATGGACGCGGTCAACGGCAACAACGGCCGCTCGGCGAGAGAAAGATTCGACCCCTCTCGCGGCCGCGCGCGCCTCGTCCCTCGCGCCGGCGCGCTCCGCCGCGCGCGTTCAGGCGCGCGAGCCCTCTCGCGATCGCCTCGCGAGAGCGATACGTCCGCGACCGCCGGGTGCTGCGGTCGCGCGGTGCGTGGTGTCGTCCGCGCGGACGGGGAAAAACACAACTCCTCCGGTCGAGCCGCGGCTTCTTCGATCCTTCGAACCGCGCTCGGGACCGCTGCGCCAGCGCCAGGTCGCTGCGCCGCGCGCGCGAAAAAATGTCTCGGCTGGCGCGGGCGGTCGGCCGCGCGCCACTCGAACGCGCGCCGGTTCGCGGCCCGGCGGGGAACCCCCGACGACCGCGATGCGCGCGGCGACAGCGTGCCTCCGCGGCGTCGCGCTCGCGACGCCGCGCGCGCGATGCGCCGCGAGCGCGCGCGACGACGTGAGACGCGCGTCGATCTCGCGGCTCCGGTTGGCACCGCGAAACGATGATACATCATTCGCGCGCGCTCGGGCGGTCCGACGGCGACGCCGAGGGTCCGACGCGCGCGCGATGGCGATGGCGGACGCCGCCGCGGGCGGCGCTTCCATCGTCGATCTCATAATCGGCAGCGGCATCGTCATCGTCATCGGAGAAGCCGGTGCGTCGTCGTCGTCGTCTCCGTTCGTCGTCTCCGTTCGTCCCCCGTCGCCCCTCAACCGTCGTCGATCGATCCGCTCGCTCCTCTCTGACCTCTCGCTCCCCTCTCCGTCCTCGCAGCCGCGCGCGCGCTCCCGGGGACCACCGACGCGACGACGATCGAGTCCCTCGCGCTGTTACCCGAGGACGACGACGACGACGACTCCGACGACGGCCTGCGATGGGGCGTCGCGTCCGTCGTCTCTCTTCTTCCGCTGTTTGGTTTTCTGTCGTTCCTGTTGCCGGCGCTGGCGGAGGAGCCGGAGGAGCCGGACGCGGACGCCGCGGCGACGAAGAACCGCTACCTCTCGCTGTCCGGCCTGTTCTTCGTCGCGTTCGCGTCCAAGGCGTTCGACCCGACGGACGCCGCGACGTGGGGCGTCGCCGCCGCGTGCGCGGCGACGTTACAGCTGGAACGCGTCGCGCGGGACGTCGAGCGCGCGAAGCGAAGCCGCGAGCGCGCCGCGGCGGCGGCGGCGGCGGCGGCGGCGGCGAAGGCGCCGCGGCGACGGAAGAAGAGGGCGCCGTCCGCGCCGAAGACGCGCGCGGTGTTCGACGCGGTGCGTGGAGGGACGCGCGGGCGAGGCGAGGAGGGGAACGAGGGGAACGAGGGGGGAGCGGACGCGAACGCGAGAGGGTGGGGCGGCGGCGCGGAGAGTCTCCCCGGCGGCTTCGGCGGCGTCGTGAAAAATCTCCGCGTCCCCGCGTTGCCCGAGGTGAAGGCGCCGACGGTTCGCGACGTCGGACGGACGCTCGGCGCGGCGCAGATCGCGGCCGTGAAGCTCCGCGGCGAGGTCGAGGAAGGGAAGATACGCGCGCGGATCGAGTTCGAGGAGATGGAGGAGGCGGAACGTCTCGAGGCGGAGGCGGAGTTACAGGCGTCGGAGCGAGAGAAGTGGGACGCGCGGTTTGAAGTGCGGAGCGCGACGATCGACGGGCTGAAAGAGATCGCGCGCGAGCGCGGGCTGAGAGGGTACTCGAAGCTGCGGCGCGCGGAGCTGCTGAAGCTCGTGGAGGAGGAGCTGTGGGGGGACGAGCCGTTCTCCGTCGGCGGCGTCGAGTACGTCGACGAGCCCGAGCCCGAGCCCGAGCCCGAGGGGAAGAACCCGTTCAAGTTTTGGTGACGGCGCGCGTCCATCGACGAAGGAATATCCCACTCAGGTACGCGCGCGTTATGATAGCTAGCTACGATCGATCGCGTACGTGTACGTGTACAACTACAGCGCGCGTCGTCAACCGCTCGCGGCGGGCCACCCGCGGTTCTCGTCGTCCGCGACGCGGCTCCACCCGTCCCACAGCCCGACGTCCCACTTCACGAAGCCCGCGTCGGCGCCCAGTCCGATCAGCTCTCGGTTGCACGACATCACGCTGCTCATGCCGATGATGTGCTTCGGTCGCTCGATCAAACCTTCGCGCACCGCCGCGTTCACGCGCTCGAGGACTTTGTACCCGGTCATCGGCGGGAGGTAGTAGTCCAGGAGGAGGACGTCCACGCGTCCGAACTCGAGAATGGCTTCGATCGGGTCGCGCGAGTCCCATCGCTGCTCGATGTGCGCGTATCGTACGCCCGCGTCGCGGAGCATGGACTCGATCTTGTACGAGTCCTCGAACGCGAGGACGCGGTAGGACGCCGCGTCCGCGGCGGCGCCCGCGGCGGTGCCGTTCCCGCCGCTCGCGCGCGTCGCGAGCCGCGCGGAGGAACGTCGCGTCGTCGTCGTCGTCGTCGTCGTCGTCGTCGTCGTCGTCGTCGAGAGTCGGCGAAGGACGCGCGCGGAGAGCGACGACGCGTGCGCGGAGGACATCGCCGACGACGCGCGACGCGGCGGCGTTCGCTCGCGGCGGCGACGAGCGGGGGGACGGGGGGGGCGGACGAGCCCGCGCGCGCGTGAGTGCGCCCGGAACGCGCGGAGGCTGTTGGTGAGCCATCGATTTATCCACGGCGAAAAGTTTCGGAGCTCCAAAATAAATAAGATAATCTTACACGGCGGCCGGCTGCGGCCGCGGCTAGCGCGCTCATCGCTTGATGACCGCGTTCATGAAATCGCCGCTCCTCCGGCGATCTAGAACCCCCCCGCCCGACCCCGCGCGCGACTCGCTCGGGAGCGGCGAAAACTCCCGGAACCCCTCCCCGCCCGGGTCGCTCACTAGGAACCCTCTCGCGCCGCCGCCGCCGCCGCCGCCGCCGCCCGCGCGCGCGTTCCCCGTCTCCTCGTCGCGCGGCGCCCGCGGCGCCCGCGGCGTCACCACCTCCGCGAACTCGAGCAGCTCCTCGACCTCGTCCTTCTCGCCGCCGTTCCCCCCTAGCCCGCCGCCGCCGGCGCTCCCCCCGCCGGATACGCCTCCAGAAAATAAATCCCCGCCCACCTTGCTCCCGAGCGTCGCCTTCGCGATGACCGTCAGCCGGTACGTCACGAGCGCGGTCACGACCAAACCGAACGTATAGAACGCGATCTCCACGTTCGACGTCTCGCCGTTACCGCCGCCGCCCGCGCCGCCGCCGCCTCGGCTCCGCGTCGTCGCTTTCCTCCCGGTCTCGCCGAGGTACACGTAGACGAAAGACGCCGGGAGGATGCCCACGGCGGAGGCGCCCAGGAACGGCAAGAACCCCACCGCGGTGAGACCGAACATGTACGAGAACGCGACGTAGGGGGATATCGGGGAGAGGCGCGCGAGCAGGACGATCTGCGCGCCGTCGCGCATGACCGCCTGGTCCAGGAGCGCGAACCGCGAGGAGTCTCTGATGAGGGTCGTTCCATACGAAGCGACGTCGGGGTGGAGTTCATAGGCGTCAGAAGCGGAGTTGAAAGGCGTCGAGGGTGGGGATTGAAAGCGAGGGACCCTGGGCGGAGAGAATCGCCGGCGAAAGTCCTTAAGGAACGGCGTTCACCACGCGGACGGGGTCGTATGGGGACCAGTGTATAGAACGCGCCTGACGAAGAGCTTCTCCACGAGAGGCCGCGCGGCGTATCGAGCGATCACGAACGAGACGCCCGCGCCAATGGCGCAGGACGTGCTCACGAGACACACGCCGATCGGGGTGCCGTAGATGACGCCCGCGGCGATGGACGTCCCGCTCGCGGCGCCGGGTATCACCCCGAAGGACGCGACGAGGACGTTGAACAGGAAGAAGTGGAGCGGATCTGCGTGGTGACGGATCGAATCGTTCGACGGTCAGCGACGGGCGCGGCGCGGGGAGGGCGAGGAAGGAGGGAGGGAAGGAATCGAGACAAAACGCACGTCCGAGCCGCTCGATGACGTCCTCGACGTTGCGCATCTTCGTCGAGGCATAGAATATCAAGCTCATGAACGACACGAGGAGGACCGCGAGCGTGAAGGCGCGGCACCACATCGCGAACCCGATTCGAGACTGCTCCGTCGCGCTGCGGACGCGCACGGGCGCGTCCGCGGGCGCAGCCTTCTTCGGCGCCGCCGCGGCCGATCTAAACATGATGCCGACGAGACGAACGCCGCGGGGTCGTCCCCGAAACCGTCGTCAGCGCGCCCGCGCGCGCTCGACCAGTGCCCGCGCGGAGGTCGAACGTCGAGGGTTTCGTCGAGACGCGCAGGCAGGCAGAGAGGCCGCTGCCAGCACTGACTGGACATTTCGCGGCTCGATCGGAGAATGTTCGGACGCGACGCCTCGCCCGGCCGTCCGCTCCTGGACGACTACTACGCTACTCGCTCCGCCGACCCACATCCATCAGCTTCACCCCGAAGGAAGCACCTACTCGTGCGCGCGCTACTCGCGACTCGCTCCCCCCGCCCCCCCGCCGCCGCCGCTCGGCGCCGGCGCCGCCATCGACCCCGTCCCTCGGAACCTCCCTTCGATGTGCCGCATCGCCGCCGCCAGCGCGTCGCGGTCGACGTACCCTTCCCCGAGCACGGCGTCGAACACTCGCACGACGCTGTCCTCTCCCCCCGCGACCATCCTGCTGTGATCAAACGCGACGGAGAGCACCCCCAGCGGCGTCGCCGTCGTCGTCGGCGCCTCGGCGAGGTAGATCTCCGGCAACCGCGCGACGGCGATCGCGCAGTCGTCCCCGCCGGTGACGATCCTGCGCAGCGTCGCGCTCATCCGCACGCAGTTCACGCAGTCGTCGTGGATCCGCCGCGGCGGCACCACCGGCGTCGATGGGAACCGCGCGTCGTGCACGTGGAGCGTCCCCGCGGCGCCGCCGAACGCGAACAGCCCGCCGTCCGCGTCGACGCACCGCGCCGGCTTCGTCCTGCGCGCGTCCCGCGGGTCCCCCCTCGTCGTCGCGGCGACGTCGGGTTTGGACGACGAATCGCGGACGTCCCAGCGTCGGACGATCCCGTCCGAACACGCCGCGTGGACGACGTGGCGATCGACGTCGCCGCCGCCCCAAGCGACGCCGTACGTCTCCGCGTCGCCGAAGCCGTCGGTTCTATACGAGCAAACGTCGGGGTGGAGTTGAAAGGCGTCGGTTGGAGTTGAAAGGCGTCGAGGTGTGTCGGGAGGATTGAAAGCGAGGGGTGATGGGCGGAGAGAAACGAACGCCGGGAGAGAAAGTCCTTAAGAAACAGCGTTCACCACGCGAACGGGGTCGTATGGGGACCAGAGTACAGTAGAACGCGCCTCAGGCGCCTGACGGGCGCGCCAAAGCGCGACATGTCGTACACGTGCACGCCCGCGCCGGGGCGGTCGCCCGCGCTCGCGAACAGGTCGGGAGCGCCGCCGCCGGAGCCCGCGCGGGAGCGTCGGAGGGCGAAGAATTGCGAGTGCGGCTGCGACGTCTCCGGCGTCGTGAGGAGCTTCGTGGCGACGCACCGCGCGTCGACGACGACGCCCGCGGACTCCGCGGCGGCGGCGCCGTCGTCGTCGCGCGCGTTGTCGCGCTCGTCGCGCGTCCCCTCCCACGGGTCGAGCCCCACGGCGGAGATGTCCCACAGTTTGATCTCCCCGGTCGCGGTGCTGCTCACGAGTCGGTCGGGGACGTCGTTCCCGCCGAAACCAAAGCCGAAATCGTCCCCGTCCCCGTCCCCGTCCCCGTCCCCGAGACGCAACAGCGCGCAGCACGTCACCGCGGCCTCGTGCCCGACGCATCGACCCAACACGCGCTGCCAGCCCCCCGGTCGTCTCGCGATCGCCCCGCGCCGCGCCCGCGGAGGCAACCCGATGAGTTTCACCTCGTGATCCGCCGAGCCGGAGCACGCGACGTCGCCGCGCATGTCCACGCACTGCGCGTACTCGCTGTGCGCGCGGTGCTGAATCTTCCGGAACCGCCCGCGGCGCCACTGCGCGTCGACGTGGGTCCCCGCGCGGAACGCCGCGCGCCACGTCGGCGGCGAACCGCCGCCGCCCAAACCGCCGCCGTCGTCGTCGGGCGAGACTTTCCACGCCGGGTGCCGCCGCGCGCGACGTTGTAACCCTTCCCACAACGCGTCGTCCGTCTCCGCGAGGTTCCTGAGGGTCGTTCCATACGAGCGAACGTCGGGGTGGAGTTCAAAGGCGTCAGAAGCGGAGTTGAAAGGCGTCGAGGTGTGTCGGGATTGAAACCGAGGGACCCTGGGCGGAGAGATGCGCCGGCAAAAGTCCTTAAGGATCGGCGTTCACCACGCCGACGCGGTCGTATGGGGACCAGTGTGAGATAGAACGCGCCTGAAGCGCGTCGACGCGCACGTCGTCGCGGCCACCTCGTGCGGCCCCATGACGCGCATCACCGCGCCCGCGACCTCGTCCGGGAGCGCGTCGAAGTCGAAGCGCATGCGCACGCTCGCGGCCGCGAGCCTCGCGCGCTCGCGCGCGGACAACAGATCCGAGCCGCGCGGGCATCGCGTCGCTTCGCGCGCCTCCGCCTCGCGCCGTCGCGATTTGTCGTCCTCCTCCTTCGTAGCCTCGGCTCTCGCGGACGCGAATCGCGCCGCCTCCCGCGCGCGCAGCTCCGCGAGTCGCGCTTCCTCTCGCGCGGCGACCTCCGCCTCTCTCGCCTCGCGTGTCGCCTCGCGCGCGGCGTGCTTCGTCGCCTCCGACCGCACCTCTCTCGCCATCGCCGACGCCATCGCGGCGTCGTCTTCGCTCACGTCCGCCACCGCCCTCGCGACGCGCTCGAACTTCTCCGCGAGCTCGATCGAGGGCGGGCCCGCGTACGCGAACGACGGGTTCCTGTGGCACCAGCTGCGACGACGACGACGGGCGGGGTGGGGTGGGGGGTTCAGCGGCGCGGCAGACGACGACGACGACGGCGGCGGGACCGGACGCGGATCTGGCGGACCGACGACGAGGGCGCGCGACGGACGCGGACGGGACGGGACGCACTCTTTCTGGTGGTACCGCAGCTCGTGGCACAGGTTCTCGAACTCGTCGCACAGCGCGACTAAGCGCGCGTGGTCGGCGTCGTCATCGTCGTCGTCCTCGTCGTGCCCCATGCCGGGGACGCGCGAGGACGACTGACGACGGGCGTCGCGGCGTCAGTTGGAAAAGGAACAAAGATTATTATTCGGAGACGCGAGACGAATGCAGTCATCAGTTTGGTCGCGACGGCGTCCGGCGGGCGGGGCGGGGCGGGGAAAACACTAGCTCTCGTTACATACTCTCGCTGCTACAAACAAAACAAAACGTCGCGCGATGGGTTCGCGTCGTCAGGTCGCCCCCACCGTCGGGCACGGTATCTTCATACGGTCCGCGTTCGCGCGCCGGCCGGCAAAAAAGTCGTCTCATCAATTTAATCGAATCGATCCTTCGCGCTCCCGCCTCTCACATTACTTCTTCTCGAACTCCTCGATGTAGTACGACAGGCTCTTCCCCGTCTTCTCGAACCCCACGAACTCCTGGTTCCCCGCCTCGAACCCGTTCAGGGTCTGCGTCGCGAAGTACACCCCCGCGAGGATGCCGCACGCGAGGAGAATACCCGGGATGCCGCCGAGTCCCCGCTTCGCGTACTTGTCCGAGGTGGGCGACTCGGTGTACAGCTGCTTGGGCTCGATTGCGAAGATGTTCCCGGACCCGGAGTTGTCCGCGTTGATGTAGCCGGTCGTGCGGTCGATCGTCTCCTTCGCGGTCGTGATCACGGAGACGCGCGCTCTCGTTTGGAGCGGCCTGCGAGGCGGGGAGAGGCGGGGAGAGGGAGGGAGAATAAATAAAACAAGATCCGTCGGTCGCCGCGCGCGGCGGGTCGAGATGACGTGCCAGGGTGGCGGGGGCGCGCGGACGCGCGCGCGGGGAACGGCGCGCCCGCGGACGCGACCGTCGTCGATCCGCGCGCGTATCGTTTCCGCGAGGGACGCGCGCGCTCGGGACCGCGCGGCCGCGGACGGCGCGACGACAACCGGCGGGGGATCCGACGCCGCGGACGGAGGGTTATCCCCGACCGCGCGTTCGCGCGCGGATGTCTACGTGGACACGGACCTGGACGCGAGCGCGCGCGTGGTCTTGCGCGACGTCAGAGACGTCGTCGCGACCTTGGGCGCGGCGTAGACGGCGTTGGAGCTGGCGAGGGCGTTCATCGTGTTCGGTGCGTGGCTCGTGTGGCGCGCGCGGGAGTGCAGTGCGCGCGACGCCGCGTCGTCCCACGCCCTGCTCGAGCCTGCGGTCGCCAAACGCCAATCATTGGCGCGCGAATTTCGGCTCCGGGACGTCGGTGGAAAACGGCCGGTGAACCGGGTGAGATTTGTTTCCGTCGATCGGTCGTTCGGTTCAGTCGAGGCGTTCACCGGCTGTGTTGAAACCAAAAAAACTACAGCTGGGGTGCCCTAAGTTCGTACAGTCTACGCTCACGTCGCGGCGGCGTCCCTCCCGCGTTACCCGTCGTCCTCTCGCTTCGGCCGCGCGCCGCCTTTCAACCCCTTGAACCGCAGCTTCGTGTACCGCCGCCGCCCCACGCGCGTGACCCGCGTCGTCTCCTCGCCGATCCCTTTCGAAGCCGGCGGGACGACGTCCTCGTCGACGACTTCGCCCTGGACCACCTCGGCGGCGCGCGGATTCGAATTCGAATTCGGATCCCCCCCGGCGGCGTCGGCGTCGGCGTCGGTCCCGGACCCGGTGTCGCCCACCTCCGCGCCGCGCTCGCCGTCCTTCTCCTTCTCGATGAACGCCGCCGCGGCGCCCGGCCACCCGGGCCCGGACCACGGTTTCCGTCCCGGCGGGCGGCGCCGCGGCGGCGGTTTCTTCGGCGAGGGCGACGGCCCCGGGCCGTACCCCGGACGAGGCGGCGCCGGCGGACGCTCCGCGCGGCGCGGCGCGACCCTCTGTCCGTCCGCGCCACCGCCGCCGCCACCGCCCTTCGGAGCTTCCCCCACCGATGGTGTCGTCGTCGTCGTCGTCGTCGTCGTCGTAACCGCCGCGGCGCGAGCGTTCACGTCCGCGAGCGCCGCCTCCGCGCGTCGCTTCTCCGCCTTCAACTCCGTCACCGCTCTCGACAACGCGTCGAACTGCTTCGCGGTGACGTCGTGCAGCGCGAGCATGCTCCCCTGCGCCGCCTCGACCTCGTCCGACATCTTCATCACCTTGCGCTCGAGCGCGGCCGCGATCGCGGCGAACTCGCTCTGCGCCGCCTCCACCTTTCGAAGCGGCGGCGAAACCTCGCGTCGCGTCAACCGCACGCGCGTCGCCACCTTACTCACGTCCCTCGTCGCCCGGTTCACGCCCTCCGCGATGCGGTCTTGGTTCATCTCGAGGTTGCGCACGCGCGCGAGGACCGTGTTCGGGTTCCGGTCGCCCTCGAGCGCGTTGGCGGAGAAAGCGCGCGGGCCGCGGCGCGCGTCCGCGGCGTCGCGCGCGGCTTTGAGTTTCCGCGCCGCCGCGCCGAGCGCAACGGCGGCGACGAGCGCGGCGTCGGACGCGGCGTGCCACCCGCCGACCGCCGGCGGCGGCGGCGGAAGTCCGCGCGCGGTCGCGAGCTTCGCGCGGCGGTCGTTGACGCGCATCGACGAGAGCTTCATCGTCCCCGCGGCGACGAGGCAGAAGACCTCCGCGCCCTCGGCGAACGCGTTTAACATCGACCCGCCGCTCGCGGCGGCCGCGTCCGCGGCGTTCCGCGGGCCCGGCGTCGGTTCGGCTTTCTTCTTTTGGGATTCGGGCGCGGGCCGCCGGCGCGGCGGCGGCTTGGAGAGGTCGCCGCCGAGGGCGTCGTCGTCGTCGTCGTTCGCGTCCCCGGCGGCCTCGATGGGGACGGACGTCCGCGCGCGCGTCCGCGTGGGATTCCGAGCGTCCCCCCGATCGTGCGGCGACGACGAACGCGACGTCCACCGGCGCGACGAGAGCGGCGTGGACGCGCGGTTCGCGGGTCTCCGCGCCGCGGGAGGCGCCCGCGGCGTCGTGGCGCCGTGCGCGAGCGCGGGAGACGCCATCGGCGCGCGTCTTTGACTGACGCGAGGCGGGGACGGCGACGACGCGACGCGCTCGATCGAATTTCGTTCCGGACGTCTCTCTTTTGTTCAATCCATCAAAAGGGTAAAAATACCTCACGCGACCGACGGCGCGTCTATTCCAACTCTCTCGCGAGCCCTTCCCTTCGCGACCGCGCCTCCGCGGCTTTCCTCTTCAACTCCTCGATCTCCCGCTTCAGCGCGATCGTCTCCTCGTCTTCCTCCGCCCCGCCGCTCGTCCACGCGTCCATCGTCCTGGAGTCGTCCCCCGCGGTGAGCTCGTACGGCGGCGAGCCCTCCTCCGCGTCGCCGCCGCGCGACGACCCCGGAAACCCACCCACCCCCGGGGGCGACCGGCCCGTGCTCGTGGAGCGGTACGTCACCTCGTTCACGCTCCTCCACTCGCCGTCGCGGAGTTCCGGCCCGGCGTCGGCGGCGAACGCGCCGCTCTGAGCCGCGAGGTACCGAATGGACGACATCGCGCGATCCGCGTCTGAAGAAAACTTTTCGCGCATCCTTCGCGACTGCTCCTCCGCCTCCTCCGCGCGCGCGCGCGCTTCGACGGCCGCGCGCTCCGCAGCCTCCGCGCGCGCGTTCGCCTCCGCGACGTCCGCGAGCCGCCCGCGCTTCGCCTCGTCCGCCTCCGCGCGCGCTTCCGTCGCCGCGCGCTCCGCCGCGACAGCCATCTCGAGCGATTTTCTGTGCATCTCCGCCAGCGCCTCAGCGGCTCGCGCCTCCACGCTCGTCATCGAGCTCGTCCCCAACGCCGCCTGCTTCTCCTCCCCGTCCTCCATCGTCGCCGCGTCACCATCCTCGGCGGCGCCGGGCATGGGCAGGAACGGATCGAACGGCTCGCTCGGCGCGCGAAGCCGACGCCGCTCCGCCGTCGCCGCCGCCGCGGCGTCGAGTCGCGCCGCCGCCGCCTCCGCCTCCTCCTTGGACGCCCTCACGTCGTCCGCGATGGTCGCCGCGCGCGCTCTCACGCGCTTCAAGATGTCGTCCAGGTGATCGTCGTTCGAGCTCGTCGCCGCGCCGACCGCGCCGACCGCGCTGGACGCGTCTGCCGCCGCGCCAGCGGGGGTGTCGGCGTCGACTTGCGCGTACCCGTAGGTGGGCAGCGGCGGCGGCGCGCGATTCTCTTCTCCCCCCGCGCCGCCGCCCGCCCTTCGAACGATCACCCCCAACGCCATCGCGCCGAGGAGGGCGCCGTCCGCGAGCCATCCGACGTGCGTCGCCGCCGGGAGCGTCGGCGGCGGCGGCGGCGGGACGGGGACCGCGGGGACGCCCCCGCGTTGCGCTGCGATTTCTTTCGCTTTTTTCACAGCCTTGTCGTGCGCCCTCAGCTTCTTCTCGTGCGCCCTCCGCGCCCGCGACATCTCCGCGCGCTGCGTGAGGAACTGCGTCGCTTTCACGCCGCCCGCGGTCGCGAGGAGGATGACCTCCGCGCTGTTCACGACCGCGGACCAGACGCCGGATCGGGACCGCGCCGCCGTGTCGCGTCGATTTTCTTCGCCGCGCGCGTCGTCCTCGTCCGCGTCATCCCTCGCGCCGTCCTCTTCTCCCCACGACGCCGCGGCGATCGCGTCGTCGTCGCCGTCGCTCGCCGTGCTCCCCGCGTTCGCGCCGGACCCGACGCGCGCCTCCGCGGAGCTCTTCTCGTCGTCGCTCGCGCCGCTCGCGGCGTCCGCGGCGTCGTCGTCCTCCTCGGATCCCTCCCAAGCGTTCGCAACCCCCAACGGGTCACCGAAGCTCTGCGCCCCGGTCGCGCGCGCGCCGTCCGCGGCCGCGGCTCGCGCCCTCGCCTTCCTCTCCGCCGCGTCCGACGCCGCGTCCGCGTCGTCCGCCGACGCCCTGGTGAGTTTCATCTTGTCCACGAACCGCCTCGCGCCGGCTAGGCCGTTCCACACGCCGCCGCGTTCGCTCGCGGAGGCGCCGGCGGGATCCCCTTTCCCGCCGTCGCCGTCGTTCGCGGCGGAGCCGGTCGCGCGCGCGACGCCGCGCGACGCCGGCGGCCTCCGGGGCGCCGGCGATGGCACCGGCGCTCGCCGACGCGACCCCCCCGGCCGCGGACGCGACCGCGCCGGGCACGCGGCGGGACGACAGCGCGCTGCCATCGCGCCGCCCACGCGCCCCGGGTGGACTGACCTATGACTCATTGCTTTTTCAGGTTTTTAGGGTCAAACTTTATCCAAACGACCGACCAAAAATCCAACCGACCGTTCAGCTCCGTTCGGCCCGATCAACGTCCCTATGAACATCTCCTTTCAACTTGATAGCGCGCGAGGTCAAAAAGCCCAACGTCTCTCAGAAAATTCACCACAGGCGTCTCGCGCTTCCCCCGCGGCAAGACGCGCGCGTCGCGTCGGCATGGGGTCGTTCCCGGGTCTGAAGATCCGCGATCGCCATGGCACGACGACCGCGGAGGTCGTCGTGGACGTCAGCAAGCGCGGCGTGCGCCTGGAGGGCGAGAACGGGACGTTAGGCGCGTTCCCGTTCCAATCCATCCTGTCGTGGTCGCGCGCCTACGACACCGCGCTCGGGCTCGTCGTCGTCGCGAACGGCGGACAGAGAGAGATCACGCTGTGGGGCGAGAGCGCGTCCGTCGTCGACGCCGTCCTCGCCGCGATCGACGCGACCGTGAACGCGATCGTGGAGGACATGAACAAGGCAGCGGACGACGACGCGCGCGCGTCGACCGAGACCGGCGCGGCGGCGTCGAGACCCGACCCCGACCCCGACCCCGATCCCGCGCCCGCGCCCGCGACGACGACTCTCGGGGACGGCGACGCGCTTGAGTCCCTGCCCGTGATGGCCCCGCTCAGCGACGCGTCCTCGTCCGACGGCGGCGGCGCCGCCGCCGCCGCCGACGCGTCGGGGTCGGGGTCGGAGTCGATCGATCTCAGCGACGTCAGCGTCAGCGACGAGGACGACCCCACGGACGCGAACGCGAATCCGTACGCGGGGGGCGAGGTCGAGGCGTTGCGGCGAAAACTCGCCGCCGCGGAGGCCGCGGCGTCCGCGCCGGAGAACCGCGACTACCAAAAGCTCGTCGCGAAGACGACCGCGGCGGAGATCGCGGCCGAGGACGCGACGGTCTCGAGGCAGATGGCGGAGGAGCGCGCGAAAAAAGCGGAGGACCGCGCGACGAGAGCGGAGGCGGAGCTCGAGTCGATGCGCGCGATGCTGACGGAGGAGACGCGGAGGCTGCGCGCGGAGCGCGAGGCTGCGGAGGCGTCGCGTCAGGAGCTCGAGGCGGTCGCGATGCGCGTCGCGGCGGCGGAGGAAAACGCGCGCGACGTCTCGAGCGACGAGAAGCGCGTCGCCGTCGCCGCGAGAGAGAAGGCGGCGGACGCGAGGGAGAGAGAGGTGAGTCGCAGGGAGAGAGACGCCGGCGACGCGGACCTTCGCGCGGAGCTGCGGGAGCTGCGAGAGACCGTCCTCGACGAGACGACGCGACGGAAGGAGGCGGAAGAAGCGCTCGCGACCGCGGTCGCGACGTCGGCGTCGGCGTCGGCGTCGTCTCCCCCCGGCGCGAGCGCGTCCAAGCTCGCGCGGTCGCCGAGGGTCGCGTCCTCGGAGCAGCTCGCGTCGTACAGAGCCCGGATCGCGGAAGTCGAGGGCGAACTCGAGGAGTGGAGAGCGCGCGCGGAGCGCCTCAGCGCGGACCTCGCGGCGGCGAGAGCGGAAGCCTCCGCCGCGATGGCGGTGTCTGAGAACCTCGCGAGCAAGGCGGCGTCCGCGGCGGCGGCGGGCGGCACGACGCCGTCCTCCAGGTCGCGGTCATCGCCGTCGCCGTCGCCGTCGCCGCGCGTCGCCGTCGGCGACGCCGCGGGCGCGGGCGCGGCGCCCTACGACGACCTCGGCGGCGACGGGTCGCTGAGAGAGGAAGCGATGGAGCGCGCGGCGGCGGCGACGCGCCGCGCGAACGACGCGGAGAAGGACGCGGCGTCGTTGAGGACGCGGCTCGCGGCGGCGACGCGAAAACACGAGGTGGACGTCTCCGCCGCGCGCGCGCGCGCGGACGCCGCGGAGAAGCAAGCGGATCTCGCGGAGGGCCGCGCCGCGGCCGCGGAGGCGCGCGCGCGGATGCTCGCCGGGGTGTCCCCGATTGGATGCGAGGACGCGGGCCCGGGCGCGCTCGCGCCGGCCCCGCCGGACCCGAGCGGCGGCGCGATCGCGATCGGCGACGGCCCGAACCACGGGTGGGTGCGTCGCGCGGAGGTGGACGCGACGACGACGCGTCTTCGCGACCGCGCCGTCGCCGCGGAGGCGAAAGCTTCGGAGCTCGCCGCGGAGGCGGAGAGATCCAGGGCGGAGGCGGACGCCGCGCGCGCGCGCGCGGCGACGCTCGCGTCCAGCGCGGCGACCAACGCGGCGGCGGCGGCGGCGTATTACCACTCGTTACCAACCGGTGACTCCGTGGAGGACGCGGACGCCGCGGCCGCGGCGCTCGTGGAGGACGCGCTTCGAGACGCGAACGTGGAGAAGCCCGGGGACGACGCCGCGGCGGCGGCGACGGCGGCGGCGACGGCGGTCGCGATGCACTCGCACGCGGCGGCGGAGGGTCTGCGGATTCAGCTAGATCAAGCCAAGGCGGACGCCGCGCGGCAGAAGCAGCGCGCGGACGCCGCGGCGCGCGAGACCGAAGCCGCGTGGCTGCGCGTCACGGAAGCGCACGAGAACCAGAGGGCGCTCAACGCGGAGCTCTCCCGCGCGAAGGAAGCCATCAGCGCGCGGTCGGAGGACGCGGAGCACGAAGCGCGACGACGCGCGAGCGCGGCGACGGCGGCGAGAGAACGCGCGGAGAAGCAGCTCGCCGCGTCTGTCGCCGTCGCGCGCGCGCTCGGCGAAGAGAAGGGCGAGCTCGCGGCGCGGGTGGACTCCCTCGAGTGCGACCTGGAGGCGGTGTCCCGGTCGAGGGACGAGATGGAGCTTCACGTCGACGCGGCGAAGGAGCACGTGCAGTCTCTCAGGGAGGAGCTCAGCGCCGCGCTCGGGCACGCCGCCGCCGCGCGCGAGCAAGCCGACGCCGCGGGCGCCGCGAAGCGCGCGATGGAGGACGAGCTCGTCGAGCTCCGACGCGGCGCGGAGGAGGTTCAGGCGCTGCTCGAGCGGCACGCCGCGGAGGAGGGCGCGGAGCTGTCGTCGACGCGAGAGGAGCGCTCGCGGCTCGCCGAGGCGCTGCGTCGCGCGACGGCGGAGAGGGACGCCGCGCTGCTTCGCGCGGCGGAGGCGGAGACGCGCGCGGCGGCCGCGATCGGCGAGCGCGAGGGCGTCGCGAACCGCGCGGTCGCGACCGCGCGCGACGCGGAGAAGTCCGCGGAGACGGCGCGTCGCGACGCGACGCGGATGCAAGCCACCGTGGACGCCGCCGTCGCCGACGCCAGAGCCGCGCGCGCCGAGGCGAACGGGCTGCGCGCGGAGCTGGACGTCGCCAGAGGCGCGCGCGACGCGCTGAGGGAGGAGATCCGCGCGGAGCGACAGAAAGCCGCGAGCGCGGAGTCGAGGGCGACGTGCTTGGAGGACCAACGCGACGCGTTGAATCGGTTGACGAGGGAGGCGGAGACCGCGCTCGGGAGAATCACGAGGGAGGAGAAGGAGGCGGCGGCGGAGGTGACCAAGCTCCGCGCGGAAGCGGGCGAGCTCGCGAGGAAACTCAAGACCGCGAAGGGCGAGGTCAGCGCGAGGGAGGAGCGGCAGAAGATCGCCAACTTGCTCGCGGAGATGGCGGCGACGGAGCGAGAGGTGACGAGAAACTCGAAGCGCACGACGAGCACGATGGCGAGTTTGGAGGCGTCCGTGCGCAAGTTGACGACGCGTCTGAATGACGTCGGGGGTGGCGGGGACGACGCCTCCGGTGACGAGAACGCGGGGGGGCGGTTTCTATCCGACCGCGGCGACGGCTCGCCGGCGGCGTCGCCGCGGCGCGCGGTCGCCGCGCGGTCGCTGGAGTCCGAGTACGATACCATCCTGGGCCTCGAGCCGCTGCGACTAAAGCACGGGTCGAAGACGAGTTGGTTCCCGACGACGGCGGCGGCGGCGTCGAGGGCGACGACGAACCCGAACCCGAACCCGAACCCGAACCCGGCGCGACCGTCGGAGGACATCTGCCCGCCGCGCTCCGCGGCGGCGACCAGGGCGGAGGAGGCCATGGCCGAGGCCGAGGCGGCGGTCGCGCGAAGGGACGAGCGCGAACGCGAACAGAGAGAAAAGCGCGAGCGCTTCTTTCGTCAGTCGGAGACGACGTGACGACCCGCCGACGAGTGATGAGCGCGCGTTTCGCGTCGCGTGATCGTCACGCGAGTACTACTATCATAGCATCGAATCTCGTCGTCGTTCGTCGTCGTTCTCTCATCGCGCCGCCTGCGGCTGCGCGGCGCCGTTCCCCGGCCGCCTGGCTTTCCTCACCGTCCGCGGCGACGACCCCGACCCGCCGCCGCCGCGCGAGACCGACGCCCACGCGCCGCCCTCGTCGTTCTCCTTGACGCTCGCGCTGTACTCCGCCCACGCGCCCGCCTCCGCGCTCGCCTCCGCGTCGCGTTTCCGGCTCTCCTCGAACCGCGCCGCCGCCTCCGCGTGACGCAGTTTCGCCGCTCTGAGCTGCTCCGCCGCCGCCGCGTGCTTCGCCGCCGCCGCCTCCGTCTGCTTCCTCGCGGCTAAGATCCGAGCCTCCTCCTCCGCCCGCCGCGCGTCCAAGTCGTTCGCCATCTTCGCGGACTCACGACGCAGCGCGTCCGCGGCCGCGGAGGCGGTGCGCATCGCCTGCTCGCGGTACATGACCTGCGCGTTGAAGAACGCCTCCTCGCGAAAGTTAAACGTCTGCCGCTGCTGCTGCTGCTGCTGCCGCTGCCGCGCGGCGTGCGCCGCCGCCGCCGCCGACGCCGCCGACGCCGCAGCCTGCGCCGCCGCCGCCGCCCTCGCCGCGGCGTTGTGCCCCCCGTACGTCTGCTGCGACGCCGGCTGCGAGTGCTGCGAGTGCGCCGACGGCGCCGCCGCCGCCGGGCGCGCGCTATTTCGTCGGTGATGGCTCATCACAGCTTGCGCCGTCGAAAACGCCTTCAACCCGACGGGCTTCCCCGCCGCGACCCACCTCTGATGCGCGGCTTGTAAAACCTTAAACGTCTCCTCGCACCGCGCGCTCGATGCGAGGTCGTCCCCTCGCGACGCGCTCCGGTCCGGGTGGTTCTTCGCGAGGCCCTTCTTAAACGCGATCTCCACGCGCGCGGCGTCCTTCTCGCCGCCGCCGCCGCCGCGATTCACCGAGTCCACGAGACCGAGCGCGTAGAGCGTCGCTTCCATGCACCCGGCGGCCGCGAGGGCGATGACGCCGTCGCGTTCGAGCGCGCTCTGCGCGTCGGCGCGCGCCGTCTCGAGCGCGGAGGCGTGCGCCTCGCGTTCCTTCACGCCGGCGCGGTACTTATCCGCCGCCGCGGTGGAGCGCTCTTCCGCCGCGCGCTTCGCCTTCGCGGTTTTTTTCGCCGCCTGCGCTCGCGCGCGCTGCCGCTCGATCTCCGCCTGGCGCGACGACCACTCCGCCTCGTCCGCGGCTTTCTTCCGTCGCTCCGCGCTGTCTGCGCTGGCGGAGGACTCGGTCCGGCGAAGCGGCGACGGCGGCGGCTTCGTCGGCGGCGGCGTTCGCGTCGGCGTCCGCGCCGCCGCCGCCGCCGCCGCGGGGGCGCTCGACTCCACCTCCCCTTCGCCCTCGCCTTCGCCCTCGCCCTCGCCATCGCCCTCGTGTTGGACTCCGCTGAACGCCCCGGCGCCGCTCATCCCGGACATCGCGTCCGCCATCTCGACGTCCTCCGTGAACGACGCCGCGCGCTCGTCCGTCGGGGTCTCGTCCTCCTCCTCCTCCTCCTCCTCCTCCTCCTCCTCCTCCTCGTCTTCGCCGTCAGCGGCGGCGTCTTCGATCTCGACGTCCGCATCCGCGCGTCTCCCCCGCGTCCGCGTCGTCGCCGCCGCCGCCGCCGCCTCCGCGGCTTCCAACGCCTCGTCGATCGCCGCCGCCGCCGCCGCCTCCGCCTCCGCCGCCGCCGCCGCCGCGTCAGACTCGCGCTCCGGCGTCGGCGCGTCGAACGTCGTCACCTGCGTCCGCTTGTTCCAGTAGTACACCTCCCCTTCCGCTTTGACGCGGAACCAATCGGGGAGGCCGGGGCAGCGCGTGCAGGCGTCGCGTGGGACGAGGACTCGTTCTCTCTGTCCCTCCCCGACCATCGTCCTCGCGCGCGTCGACGGCTCCTCCTCCTCCTCCTCCTCCTCCACCACCTCCACCACCACCTCCTCCTCCTCTCCCACCGCGCGTCCTCCTCGCAACCCCGCGAGGACGCCGTCCACGATCGGTCCGACTTCGACGGCTTTCACCGCGGCGCCGGCGACGACGCCGTCCACGATCTTCGCGACGACGTCGTTCAGGTGCCTCCGTCGCGCGCGCGACTCGAAAACGACGGTCGCGCGCCCGACCCACGCGCCGAGGAGGAAGAAGCACGCGAACGCGAAGAGGAGGGGGAAGTGCGCGGCGCGCGCGATCGCCCGCGCCGCGTCGAGGCGGCTCAGCGAGCTGTAGATGTCCTCGGGCTGCGCGGAGTGGACGGAGGGACGACGGACGGTGAGTCGGTCGTCTCGGACGGCGCGAGAGACGAGGGAGGACTTCCATCACGCCGGGGAATGAACGGGAGCGATCGATCGACGGGAAGGACTCGACGACGACGCCGCGCGAGGACGGCGAAGGGACGAGACGCGCGGCATCGCGCGCGCCGCGGCGTCGACGAACAGAGAGAGAGGCGCGTGTCGTAGCGGGAGAGCGCGCGTACCTCCATGCCCGCCGCGTGTCCGCGCGCCGTCTCGCCGCGGGAAGTGCGCGCGCGTCGTCCCGCGCGAGGCTTTTCCCCCCGGCAGCGGCAGCTCGGTCGCGGTCGCGGTCGGTGCGCACGTCTCGCGCCCTTCGTCTGATTTCGAAAAAGTGACGCCGCCGCGGGGATCACTTTCGACGCGCGGATCGCTCCGACGCGGTGCCCGAGAAGTCTCCCGCGAACATAACCGTCTGTCATCATGGCGGGCATGCCTTATGGACTCCAGTCCATGCTCAAGGTGCGCGTCTCGCCCGCGATCGCGCGCTCGCGCGCCCTCTGAAAAACAAGATGCCGACGCCCAGATCCAGCGAAAAACGACGACTGACCGCCGCTCCCCCTCGTCCCCCTCCTTCGCTTCCTTCCCGTCGACAGGACGGGCACAAGCACATGTCCGGCCTCGACGAGGCGGTGATCAAGAACGTCGAAGCGTGCAAGCAGCTCTCGAAGATCACGCGCACCTCCCTCGGCCCTAACGGTGCGCGATCGATCGTCCCGCGCCGATCGTCGCCTCGGTCAACACTTTCGCGCGCGCTTTCGCGAACCGTCGATCGAACTCGAACGATCGGACAGAACCGACAGACTCTGACCTCCGATCCGCCCGCCCCGACGTGCGAACCAAACGACGTCGCGACCAAACGAACAGGCATGAACAAGATGGTGATCAACCACCTGGACAAGCTCTTCGTCACCTCCGACGCCGCGGTCATCGTCCGCGAGCTCGAGGTGGCGCACCCGGCGGCGAAGCTGCTGGTGATGGCGGCGCAGGCGCAAGAGCAAGAGATCGGGGACGGGACGAACCTCGTCGTGACGTTCGGCGGGGAACTCCTGGGGAACGCGGAGGAGCTCATCAGGGATGGACTGCACCCCTCGGAGATCATCGAAGGGTACGAGAAGGCGCTGGAGCAGACGTGGAAGTGGCTCGAGGAGCTCGTGATCCAAGGGTCGGAGACGCTGAACATTCGCGACAAGGCGGCGGTGGCGGAGCGCCTGAAGGGGACGCTCTCGTCGAAGCAGTTTGGGTACGAAGAATTACTCGCGAAGACGTGCGCGGAGGCGTGCATCGACGTGTGCCCGAAGAACCAGCTCAACTTCAACGTGGACAACGTCCGCGTCTCGAAGATCATCGGCTCGAGCCTCCACGAGAACGAAGTCGTGCAGGGCATGGTGATTCGCCGCGACGTCGAGGGCACGGTGAAGCACGTGAAGGACGCCAAGGTGGCCGTCTTCGGGTGCGCGGTCGACACCGCGTCGACGGAGACGAAGGGCACGATCATCATCAACAACGCCTCGGACTTGGAGTCGTACAGCAAGGGCGAGGAACAGAAGATGGAGGAGTACGTCAAGATGATCGCGGACAGCGGCGCCAAGGTTGTCGTCTCCGGGCAATCCTTCGGGGAGATGGCGCTGCACTTCATCGAACGATACGGCCTCATGGCGATCAAGATGCCCTCGAAGTTTGAACTCCGACGGTTCTGCCGCGCGACGAACGCGGTCGGACTCATCAAGCTCGCGCGCCCCGCCGCGGACGAGCTCGGGTACGTTTCGCAGATCGACGTGAAGGAGATCGGCGGGACGAAGTGCGTCGTCGTCCAACAAAACGACAAGACGTCGCGCGTGGCCACCGTGGTGCTGCGCGGGTCCACGGAGAACGTCATGGACGACATCGAGCGCGCGGTCGACGACGGCGTGAACGCGTTCAAGGCGCTGACGAAGGACTCGCGGACGCTCCCCGCGGGAGGCGCCACGGAGATTGAGCTCGCGCATCGATTAGCCGCCTACGGACGCAAGCAAACCGGGTTGGACCAGTACGCGATTGAAAAATTCTCCAAGTCGCTCGAGGTCGTCCCGAGGACGCTCGCCGAGAACGCGGGCCTGAACGCCACGGACGTGGTGTACAACCTGTACGCCGCGCACGCGGCCGGGGAGACGAAAGCGGGCGTGGACGTCTCCGCGGAGTCGCAGTGGGTCGACCTCGCGGCGAAGGAGTCCGTCGCGGATGTCTTCCTCGTGAAGTGGTGGGCGCTGAAGCTCGCCGTGGAGGCGGTGTGCACCGTGCTCAGGGTGGATCAGATCATCATGGCGAAGCAGGCGGGCGGGCCCAAGCACGCTCCGGGGGACGAGGACTAACGTTTGTTCTACGCTGGGGCGTTGCTTACGTTAGAGAGAGAAAGAGGGAGCGAGAGAGGAGAGGAGAGAAGGCGGACGAGAGCCGAGCCGCGAGACATTCATACACGCCAAAGACACGTCATCATCATTTCGTTCGATCGGATCGCCCGAAAGAGAGCGTTTCGCGTCGCCGTCATCTGCCCGCTGTCCTATCCTATCGTCGCTACGTCATCACTCGCCTCGCGCGGAGCGCGGTGCCCATCACTTCGCGTACTGACGCGTTACCCATTCCGCGACCAACGCCGGCTTCCTCTCTCCGTCGTCGCCGCCGTCGCCGTGAACCTCCACGGCGACGATCGACTCCACGCCCTCGCCCCCGCCTCCGCTCCCGCCGCCTATGCGTTTCACCTTGATCACCTTCGCGGTCGCGCGGATCCGCGACCCGACCGGCACCGGGGATAAGAACCGGACGCGGTTGAACCCGCAGTTCAACTCTTGACCCATCCACTCGTGTCTCGGTAACACGCCCTTCAAGAGCGTCGGAAGCAACGACAGCGTGAGGAGCCCGTGCGCGATCGGCCCGCCGAACATCGTCTCCGCGCCCGCCTTGTGGATGAACTGGTGGTCCCCGGTCGTGTCCGAGAACGCGTCGACGACGGCCTGCGTGACGAGATGCCACGGACTGGGACCCAGCGCGACGCCGACGACGGCTTCGAATTCCTCGGGCGATCGAACGACCGCCGGCGGCCGCGGCGACGCGGCGGTCGCGGCGCGACGCGGGGACGTCGTCGCGAGGTGCGACGCGAGCGACGCCGCGCGTCGAAGCGCGACGACGGAAGACTCGTCCCGCGCGCGCGACATGACGCTCGCGCGGGCGGCGCGACGCCAGAGTGACACGAGACGACGAACGTTTTCATTCAGCTCTGTCATCATCGGACGGCTTCGTCCGAAATTATGTCCCGCTACGCGCTAAGCACCCCCCCCCCTCTCCACTCCACTCCCGCCCGCCCGTCTCAACAGTACAGGTAGTAGCTCACGACGTCCGCGGGAAACATGTGGTTGATCTGCGTCACCGCGAGCTCCGTGCGCTCGTCCAGGAGCGCGTCGTCCGCCGCCGCGTCGGCGGCGCCCAGACGCGCCTCCTCCCTCGCCCGCGCCGCCGCCGCCGCCGCCGCCTCGTGCGCCCTGCGAATCGCTTGCAACCGCATCAGCGCCCCGCCGGTGACGAAGTCGCGCTTCGCGTTCACGTCCTTCGCGAGCTTGACCGCGAACTCGTTCAGCACGTGCCTCAAGATCGGCTTCGGCGTCGCCTCGTCGATCAGAGGCTCGACGAGCCGAAGGTCGCCGACGTTTTTCACGAGCGACTTGAGCGCCGCCTTCGCGCGGTCCGTCAACGCCTCGCCGACGACCGTTACGCTCTCCTTCCCCAGCGCGTAGCACTCCAGCATCGCCTTCAGCGCGCCCGCCTTCGCGAGCGGCTTCGCGGTCTCCTTCCCGTGCCTCGCGACGCACCCGAGCGCCCACGCCGCGGCGACGGCGGCGTCGACGTCCGCCGCGGACCTCGACGCGTCGACGAGGCACTTCGCGCCCCCCGCGCCGACGACCGCCATCGCGAACGCTTGCTTGAAGTCCGCGATGTACCCCAACGTCTGGACGGCTAAGATCGACCGAGATGTCCCGCGTTCGAGGTTCGCGCACTGCACGAGCCCGGCGACGCCGCCGTCGGAGGCCACGGTCTCCGCCAGCGCCGGCGTCTTCATCGCGAGCTCTCTCAGCGTCGCCGCCGTCGCCTCCCGCAACGGCGCGTTCGCCTCGTTCACCACCCCCGCGATCGCGCACGGGACGCACCCGGCGTCCACGACCGCGGCCGCGAGGTCGTCGGAATGCCGCGCCATCGTCGCGAGGCACGCGAACGCGCTCGCCGCCGCGCGCGGCGCGACGCCGTCGTCGGCGACGGCGTTGGCCGCCGACGCGTCCTCCGCGACCCTCGCCGCGGCGTGAAACCCGCCGCAGTCGAGCACCGCGCCGGCGCTCTCCGCGCCGTACGCGCACACGCTCTCGAACACCTTCACGATCTGCGCGCGGAGGCTCAGCGACGCGTCCATCATGTTGCAGTTCGCCGCGAGCGCGGCGAGCGTGTCGTCCTCGGCTATGATTTTCCCCGCGTGCTCCGCCCCCGCCGCCGCCACCGCGCGCAGCGTCCTCACCGTCTCTTCCTTGACGTCGTCGTGGAAGGACTCCAACAGCGCGCGCATGGGTACGAGCGCGCCCGCGGCGACGACCGCCGTCGCGTGCGCTTCCTTCTTCCCCGCGATAGAGCGCAGGGCGCGAAGACCGGAGACGACCACCGCCGGCGCCGGGTGCGAGAGCGACGCGACGAGTTTCTCGAGCGGCTCGTCCTCCACGAGCTCGTCCCCGCCGGAGGGGTCCACGAGCGACTTCGCGACGTCCAGGGCGTGGGATTGGATGCTCGGGACGACGTCTGGTGAGCGCGGCGCGCGCGGGGGAGGGGGCGGGCGGCGTCAGGATTGGGATCGGGGCGGCGGGGAGGCGCGGAGCGAAGGTGCCGGATTTGGCAAGACGCCCTCTCGGCGCCGCGTCGTTTGAAAACGGAGCGCCGGGGCATCCGTCCGGTCCTCCCCCGCGCGGCGTCGCGTCGGTCCCAACAGCGCGATGCGACGGCGAGCGCGTTCGCGTCGCGCGCGATGACGCGCACCTTGAACGAGCGGCTTGTACAGCAGCGGGAGAACCTTCCCGTCCATGAGCGCCTGGTCCATCCCCGCGTCCCCGCGCGCGAGGAGCTCCGCGACGTCCCGAACGAAGATCGCCCTCGCTTTTTGGTACGCGGCGAGAACGTCGTGGACGGGTTTGTACACCATCGCGTGCGACGGCGGTCTCGTCGTCACTTTGATCGCGGTCGCCGTCATCGCGGTCCGCGGGTCGCGTCGGCGACGTGACCGACGACCAGGCCGCGCGGGGCGTTGTGCGCGCGCGAGAGGTTCAAACCTCGCTCTTTTTTTTCCAGGCAGAGCGCGATTTTCCACGAGCAGGTGTGCGC